AATCTCTGGATCCTCGCTATGGTTTCTATCTACAGCTGAATTGTCCCACCTGTCTGCCTGAGTCTTATCTCTCACTCACCCACTCCTTTTCCTCTTTTCACTGTGGTACAGGAGGACCTCAGATTCCTTTCTTTGCCCTCTGCACCCTGCTCTCTATCTTTTTTCCACTGAAGAATTTAATCTCATGTAATAAAAACTCTCCAAGTTGGTATTTCCAGTCCCAACTTTCATCCTAGCTCTGTGTTTTCAACTCTCATCATGATGGATGTCTCCCCTCATCTCAGAACTCCAAACTCCCCATGTCCAAAACTAAAAAAAACAAAACCCAAAACCAAAAAAAACCCCAAAGACAAACCACTACTGCAGAATCAAGAAAGCTTGAGTTTCAATTACATCTTGGTCATTCACTACTTAATATTGGCAAGTGGGAATTACAATACATACTTATACCTTAGAGATGTTTTAAAGACTGTATGCAACTCCTCATGTTCAGTTTGTACATGTTAGGTGCTCAGTAAAGGTTAGCTTCATTCCTACCTCAAATTACTTTCCTTTCCAAATTCCTCATTTATTCTAGTGACATCAATATTATCCAACAGCATCAGGTTCAAACTTGGTATTTGTGTGCCCCTTCCCTGCTACTCCGAATATCTGCTACAATACTGAGTGCTTGCTTTGAAATAAAATCCACACATCGATTTCTCCCCTTCATCATTCCCCTGCATGGGTGTCTTCCCTGTTCTGTTTTTCTCTTTCACTTTTCACTGCTTTCTCAGCTCCCACACCTGGGTCTGCACCTCAGTGCTCCTGTTCTTGCACTTGACCCAGAATGCAGACAAATCCCTGGGGCGATACCACCTCTGCTCTTTCTCTTTGATCTGCCTCTCCCCTCGCTGAGCCTTTTCTCTTTGGACAGACCCCAGGGTCCTGGAAGGTCCAGAGTCTTCCACCTGTCCAGCCTCATGTCGGGCAGTCCCTTCCCCTGGTTGAGCCAGCTTGAAGATGAGGGCACCAGCTTTTCCCTCACTGTCCCCCCTGCTGCGGGAACTCCCCTCTGCCTGTTACCCCTCATCTTCTTCTCCTCCAGCTCGCTTTGGCAGAGAAAGGGGGCTTTGCCTCTGCCTCTGCCTGCCGTTTCTCTGTTCTCTCTCTTCTTTCCTCCATCTCCCTCCCTTTCTGTCCTTTCTCTTTCTCTCTGTCTTTGTCTGTTTCTGTCCTCCTGTCTGTCTGTCTCTGTCTCTCTGCCTCGCTCCCTCTTTCTCTGTCCAAGTGTTTCTATCTGTCTTTATGACCTCTGACCCACTGTGTGACTTTCCAACCACAGGGAGGCACACCTGGCCCTAAGCTACCTGGGCTGAGACCACCAGGCCCAGCTATCCCTTGTCAGCCTGTTTGGCACCCACTATCCACACTGTGGAGATTCAAGAGCATCGTCCCAACTCCCCACCTCTCTCCTCCTCCCTGAGGCCACCTCTCCAGTCTGCAAGTTGAGGGGCGCTTACCACTTCCCCCTGGCGACAGGAGGCTGGCCAGTGAGGCACTGAGCAGGATGAGGCACAGCAGGCTGGCCATGGTGTGGCCCAGGACAGCGTGTCTGTCCTCACTGTGACAGGCCTCCAGGGCAAGGTTCAGCCACCCTGGCTCAGAGGGTGGATGACTGTCCTCTTGCTTATCACAGCCTTCTGATTGGAGCCTGGGCCAGTGGGGGGTGAGGGACAGGGGCAGGCGACTCTGCCGGGGCATTGTCACCTGGCCTGTGCAGCCTTGGGGAGATCCCACTGGCACTTCATTGGTAGAGGTATCCAGTGGGGCTGGCTTTGGGCATAGGAACTTTTTGTTCTAAGAAAATAAAAACGTGATTTTTATGGCTTTCAGACATTTATGTGTGGCTCTCATTTCATCCTTACAATCTTGATAAAAGCTAAGTATCACTTCATCTTTTCTCTGGAACAGAGAATTGAGGCTTAGAGAGAGGTGAAGCATCTGTGGTGCATGTGGGATTTGAACACAGGACTTTCCACTTCGGGGTCCTGCTTTTTCCTTTGTCTGAACTGGTCCTTCTGCTCACAGGCTGCTCTCTCCAGGTGGTATCAGGTGGGGACCCACAAAGTGCCTCTAGCATAGAGGTCTTGGTGCCTGCACATCACTGGCATGTCAGGCTTGTACCTCCATCCCCCAAGTTCAAGGGCTCTAGGAGGCAGAGCTTGTCTTGTGACCCTTCCATGCCATACAACATCTCATTCCCAGGCCCCTACTCATACTCCGGGGAGGATACCCTGTCTAGAGGAGACTACTCTGCTGGAGCCCCGAGTGGCCTGTTGACCACAGGACAAGTTGGTTCAAGGTCAAGAGGAGATACTCAGCACACCTCTCAAACCCATGGCTAAGCCATGAGACACATGGCTTCTCTTGACGACTTTGCCTCACACAGTCTCCTGGCGCCTGGGGTTCGGGGGAGGGAGAATGAGCCCTGAGTCAGAGGCCGCACAGTGTGGTGCATTTCTCACGGATGTGCCGCTCGGTACAGGTCATCTGGAAGAGCACTTGGAAGCTGGCAGGGTGCCGCAGGACCAGGACTGGAGGCAGCCTCATTGTCCAGCCCCTCCTTGAGCTCCCACTCTCCACTCCCCCCATGCAGGGCCAGGAGGTATGAATAGCACTGCCTCCAGAGAATACAGGAGTCTTGTTTCTTGGCTGTCATCTTGGGGAGAGTCCCGAACTCAGGGTTGTGTCTCTTTGCAACAAATGACAGGTGTCATGGAAGGACGAGTCACATTAGGTCAGGGAAAGCAGCCTGCCACCTTGGCAGCCAGGCTGGAGAAGGAGATGCATGTGCTACATGCGCACCGAGTAGCAGCAACCTCCCGGGCATCAAGAGTTGGGACACAGCCCGAGCTCCACGGCTGACCAGGGTCTGCAGCCAGACTCCAGGCTCTGGAGGAAAAGGCCTGGGAAGTGGCTGCAGGCGAGCGCTGCACCGAGAGAGACAGAAATAGAGGCAGAAAAAGACTGTGCTCTGTTCCGCTGCTCACAACACTTCTGCACTTGGTGATCAGTTATCCAAAGCCCATGGTCACTTGGATGTAAGTCTCATCATCTGGCTTGTTTGTTGCTTTGTCTGCAGCATCTAGAGGGCTGTCTGGCACATAGTAGATGTTTAATAAGCCCCAAGAGATGGAGTGAGTCAGTTCATTCTGGAAATGTGCCCGTTCTGTGCTCTGAGGCCAGGCAGGTGTTTTGCAGGGTGGTCGCTGTGACATGCAGAGTCTGGTTCTCAGGGACAGCCCGTAGGTGGTGCCTTGGGCCTGTCTCACCTGGTCATTTTGTGCTGTGATGCTGTTTCTGGACAAATTTAGCCTGTGTGGGGAGGCCAAATGCTGTGTGACCCTCCCTGTCCCAGCGCCTGGTGGGGGGCAGGGAAAGAACCTAGTCGCCCCTCATAGAAAGACAGAACTGACCCATACAGTCAGCATACCTACACGTCAAGTGTTAGCCTTCAGGGGCTGTCCCGACACTGCTGGGCACCCACGCAGACACCAGCTCCAGGAGACCAAGGCCTTGCCACCCGCTGACAACTGGGGAAACTGAGGCAGAGCCAGTGACCCACCAGGACCATGTTTAACCCCAGGTGGACCTGGGGGGCTCCTGGCCTGGCCACTTCAATCCCATCCCTACCCTTTTTCTTCCAGGAACAGGGTCCAGATAGCTTTCATTTCCAGGAAGAGACTAGAGCCTTGCTGTGCTCAGGGCCTCCGGAGAGCTCCTGCACTTTGGTGGCAGAATTTCTGGTAAGCGTCTGTAGCCTGGACAGTTGATCTGGAGGACATCTGGATGCTTGCCAATCCGCTTCACCATCCATGACGACGTGACCGAGGTCCCCTGGAGGCCTCATTCCACATGCACTGGTTTCATTCCCGTGACAAGCGTTGAGGTGGGCGGCCATCTTACAAAGGAGGAAACAGGGCACAGAGAGGGTAAGCGGCTTGGCCAGGAGTCGCAGTCAGAGTCAGGCCAAGTCCAGGAGGTGCTGGGTGCTTCAGTGTACCACCGAGCACTTGGTGAGATCCCTAAAAATTACAGCTTCACCAGGGCAGTGAACCTTTTCTGTAAAGGCCCAGATCAGTCGTTGGGTCTGTGGGTCAGGTGGTCTCTTTGGCTAGAGGGTCTCTGTCCCAAATACTCAGTGCTGTGGTTTTAAGCAGCCATGGATGATTTGTAAAAGAATTAATGTGTCTCGATAAAACTTTATTTACAAAATCAGGTGGCTTGCACTCAGCCTTACCTGTAGCTTGCGGACCCTGGTCTGCTCAAAACTAAATGTGGCTTGACTGTCCAGCAGAGCCAGTGTCCATCCTCCTGTCCTGTCCTGAGGGAGGGCTGTGCCCACTGGGTTTGCTCCACCCACCTTCACTAAGTTCAAGCAGGGCCCACTTGAACTTCGATGATTTGTTCCATTCTTCTCTACCTGAGACCTATGCGACCCTAGGTTTAGTGAGCCCATAGTTGCCTGAGGGACTTGATAACAATGTGACCCGCCAGGTCCCACCACCTCCGACCGCACGGATCTGGGCAGGACGTGTGGACATGCATCCTGTGGAGCGTCTGTTTTGTGGAGTGTCCCTGGTGGGCCTAGGGACTGTCTTTGAGGACTGTCATTGATGAGGGCGGTGGCAGGAAGAGAACACCCAGGTCGATAGGGCTTTGGGAACTGCAGCCTCCAAAATCCATCAGGGAGCCCTTGGTTTTCAAAACCAGCCTCCGTGTAAAAATATTCATTTAGTGATCGGTGATGTTACCAACAGCTTGACCGGTGATGAATGGCAGGGTCTCAATGACATGAATGCAGACAACCTGTGAGTGACAGGCTGCAGGGGAAAATGCATGGAGCAGACTCATGTTCGTGGTCTGAGGGGAGAACCGGTGGCAAACAGTATGCAGAGCATTTACGTGGTTCGCTTTAGGGTAAAAGATACACGTGCAGAACAAATCTGGAAGGATATCCAGCAAAGTGAGTGGGTGATGCTCCCGATTTATTTGAAACAAAGACAAAATACTTGTATAGAAAGGAAGAAATGTAAGTTAAAAGACAGCCCTCAGAATGTAGCACACATCACCGGGTGAACACATACATGCCACTCTGGCTGCGTCCGCAGGGAAATGCAGCAGAGGTGTGCACTTGAGACGCGGTCACTTCCCCGTGTCTGCGCTGCAGGGCTTCCCATCCCCCTCACCAACTGTCCTGTGTCGCTCACCTTTCTATTCCCTAGGTCTCTCTCTGTGAATCTTGGAGTCTCTACCTCCTCCTCTTTAGAGCCCCTCCCTCACTTTCTCTGAGCCTCTCCATCTCTCTCAGCCCCTCTCCTCTGCTCCTCACTCCTAAGGTCTTTCTTTAGGCTTGTCCCCACCTTTCCCTCCATCTCTCAGTCTCTCCCCACCCCTCATTCTCGCTACTTTCCTTCTCTTGGTCGCTCTCTCCTCTCGCTCTTTCTTTCCTTCTCTGTCTCACTCAGTCTCTCCATTTCTCTCCCTCCCTCTCCTTATCCCCTCCCCCTCTATTCCCTCCCCAACAAGGGCAGAAGAAGTTATGGGATTTGAAGCCAGGACAACCCAAGCAACAGCAGCTTTATTTTGCGGGAGCCGGGTGCGTGGAGCCAACACTGGGGGACTAGCGGAGCGGGACTCGGAGGAGGCCTTTTGAGTGGACTTCTGAGCTCATGAGCCTTTGGAGCCACTCGATGTACTGGGAGACTCTGGTGTACACCCCGAACTGGCCTTCGGCTGCACAGCCCACACCCCAGCTGACGACACCTGTCAGGTACCACGTACTCTGGAACTTGGTGGCGTGCGGGCCCCCGCTGTCCCCCTGGCAGGCGTCCTTGCTCCCATCCAGGTAGCCAGCACAGAACATGTTCTCTGTGATCTTCGGGGAGCCTGGCTTCTGTTTCGACTGCTCCAGGCAGTCCTGGGTCATCAGCCTGGGCACATCGATGGCCATGAGCTCAAGGGCCGTGGCGCCCCTGTCGAGAAGCTGCCCCCAGCCACTGACAGTTGAGAATCGAATGAAGGCCAAGGTCCTCTCAGAGAAGGCCTTCTCAGGCAGACACAGGGGCACTGCGTAGTCAGTGAAGGCCACAGGCCTGCTCAGGCGGAGCAGGGCAATGTCGTGGTCCGTCTTTCCTGAGACGTACTTGTTGGGGACAAAGACCTGAGTGACATGCCGCTCTTGCTCGTCACCGTCCTCCTCACTCAGGTCATGCTCACCTATGGGGAGACCAGAGCCACTTACAGCCCTCACCTTGCAGCCTTAAGGAATGGCCCTTCCCAAACCTCAAGAGGGTCAGAACTTCCTTTGGGGCAGGAGCGGCCTGTGTCCAACTCCAACCTGGCCTGGGTGGCCACCATTGGGCTCCAGACAGAGTATAAACTGGGGGTGAATCAGGACCCTTGGGTGGTTAAGGCATCAAGGAGGGGTACTGGGCCAGGCAGCTGGGTAGGTGAGGAGGATTACCCGGTTCCCACTGTGCTTTCCAGGGCCCTCCCCGGGGTTCCTGGTCATCTCTCAAGCCCACCAGGCAGGAGCCTGGCCATGGTGGCCCATGGAGCCCTGGGTGGCTGCATTACTCTCGGGGATCTTGGCCTGAGTGAGACAGGCGGGCATGGCATCACCTCCCCTGTCTTTATTTGGGGGTGGGGAAGGGGCTGAGGGGATGTGGCCACAGTGGCTCCCTGCGGGCATTGGGGTTGCCCCAGTGCTGCCCACTTCCCTTTTTGGAGGAGGTCGTCTGGTTGTGGAAGTCGGAGGTTCAATATCCTGAGTCTTAGACCCCAGTTGTTATCACTCGAGAACCGGCCTCTCATCAGAAGGTGGTAAGAACAAAACTTACCCACTACCACTGTCAGGTTCTTCCAGTTCTTCATTCTGTCGAAACAATGGGCTGCGGAGACCACCCAGGTGGCGTTGATCAGGGTGCCCCCGCACAGCAGCGCCCCATTCAGCTTCAGCTCAGCCTAACAAGGCACAATAGGCATTAGAAGGTCACATTATTGTCCTGGGGTCCCCTTCCTGGAGAATCCTCTTCCCCCTGGAGAATCCCCACCCCCAGGGATGGCGGCCCTTATAGGAAGTTGTCTGAAATCCTGCAGGCTCCCCAAACAGGGCCCTCCCCGAACAAAGCTGCTCCAGCCCCTCTCCAGTAGGCGATTCCCATCTGGCTCAGGGAAGAGAGGCTCTCGGACTCCGGACTGGCAATGGGAGTGTTGGTGTCCGGTTCCTCTGTGCGCCTCCTGGGACTGTCACTGAGCTTGACTCAACATGCCCGATTTGCAGAGATGCAGCCCAGCTTTGTGCCCCTAGAGCACGTGAGGGGTAAATGGAATAACAGAGTGAGGCACTGAGCATGTTCTAGGTACATATAGACCCTCAGTAAATGTTTTCTTTCCTTTTTTTCTTCCTAAAAGCACAGAGGATGCTATGTGGGGTCGTAGCATGAATCCTGCATGGAGATGTTTTCCTTAGGGTGAGTCTTCCATCATGGGTGGGAAAGGAGCTGTTGTGGTCTCTGGCCAGGCTGGCCTGAAGACGGTGAGGAACTGCGAGGCCAGAGGAGGCTGGCTGAGGCTGAGGGGTCTGGTTTCCAACCGTCTCCGTGTATTGTGTGCAACTGGATCAACCAGGGAGGGAAGAGACTGGAAATGGGGTTCGCCACTCTCAAGCCTAATGTCCCGAGTTGTGTGGGCAGCAGGAAGAAGGGTGCCGGGGAGCCTTCCTCACCTGTATGGGCTGAGAGTTGCACCTACTTCTTGGCTGGGATCGTGGGGGTTAAATGATACTGAAAAGGGTGGTCTTGGTGGGTGGGGCACAAGGTGGGGAAGCAGAGCCTGCAGCAGTCACCCCAGCAAGCCCCACCCCCGAGTGCTCCCTACTGTAAAAGCACAGAAACCCACATCCACCAGCACCGCCTCTGGCTTGCAGAGGCTTTGCCACCCATTGATGGGGGAATCTGGCAACACATCAGTCCTATTTAGATGTATCTAACTCAGATTATTGCTCTGAACACCAAAAACCAGGGTTCTGCAAAGCAGAGGAGCGGGCTCTGGACCGCAAAGACCCCACTCAGGCCCCACCCATTGTGGGAGGTGGGGTGGAACAGGGGGAGGCCAGGGCTGCCAGCTCGGTAATAAATGCAACTTCTTTGGAGGCTGGTCTGGAAGGGCCAGACTGCTGTGAAAGGGGAGGTTTGGAGTTTTCCCACGCCTGAGGTCAGGTGGAGAATGACTGGTGCTTTTCCACCTTCCTTTACAAGGTTGTCATATGTTTATGTCTATTTCTAAAAATTCTTGACTGTTGAACTTGGGGTGTCCCAGAATGAGAGGTTAAAGAGGAGTCACTGACTTGGGCGCAGATCTGAGTTTCCTGGTCTCAGAGTGGCAGCTTCTTACACTGCAGTCTGCACACATTCCCAGGTTCTTGTGAAATGTAGGTGCTGGCCCAGTGGGCCCAGGGCCTGAGACTCTGCATTCCCCTGCAGAGGCAGCCTTGCAGAGTCATGCCCTGGAGGGCCACAGCCCACGCACCTGACCACATGCCAGGCACACAGCCTCCCAGCCTGTGGAAGGATTCTGCTACAGATCAGAAATCATCCTGTATGATCTTGCTTACATATGCAATCTAAGCAAACAAAACAGACATCCAGCCAAGATGGAGGCATAGGTAGACACATTGTACCTCCTTGAACAACCAAAAGAAGGACAACAACAAATTTAAAAATAAAAAACAACCAGCAGTGACAGAAATCTGAACTATATGGAAGTCCAACAACCAAGGAGTTAGAGAAGAAACATTTATCCAGACTGGTAGGAGGGGTGGAGATGGGAAGCTGGGTGGAGAGGACTCATGGCAAGGTGGCAGCTGGTACAGTGGGCAGACCCACATTCACATGCAGATAAACTGGGAGGAACAACTGGGGAGGCAGACAAACTGCACAACCCAGGGTCCCAGTGCGAGGAAATAAAGCCTCAAAGCCTCTGTCTGAAAGAACCTGTGAGGGTTGTGGCATGGTGAGAAACTCCCAGTCTCACAGGAGAGGTGGGTCTCGGAGAAACCCACAGGGTCCTAGAACATACACAGACCCACCCACCTTGGAATCAGCACCAGAAGGGCCCAATTTGCTTGTAGGAAGCTGCGGAAGTGATTGAAAGCCAGCAGAGAGTGGAGCAAACAGCACTGTTCCCTCTTGGATCCCTCCCCAATGACAGTGTCACCACAGAGCAATGTGGGTGACAGTGTCACCAGAGCAATCCTGGTGAACACCTGAGTGAGGTTCAGCCCCTTACTAAGTAACAGGCGCACTGAGACCAAAAAAAAAAAAAAAAAAGGCCCAAATGAAGGAACAGATCAAAGCTCCAGAGAAAACACAACTAAGTGATGAAGAGATAGCCAGCCTATCAGATGTACAGTTCAAAACACTGGTAATAAGGATGCTCACAGAATTGGTTGAATATGGCTGTAAATTAGATGAAGAAATAAAGGCTATGCTGAGTGAAATGAAGGAAAATGTACAGGGAACCAACAATGATGGGAAGAAAACCAGGACGGAAATCAATGGTGTGGACCAGAAGGAAGAAATAAACATTCAGTCAGAACCAAATGAAGAAATAAGAATTAAAAAAAAAAAATGAGTAGAGGCTGAGGAACCTCCAGGATCTGGAGGATCCATGTTCGGATGTTGAACATTCCAACGTCTGAATCACAGGGGTGCCAGAAGGAGAAGAACAAGAGCAAGAAGTTGAAAACTTATTTGAACAAATAATGAAGGAGAACACCCCAATCTTGCCAAGGAAATAGATTTCCAGGAAGTCCAGGAAGCTCAGAGAGTCCCAAAGAAGTTGGACCCAAGGAGGAACACACAAAGGCACATCATAATTATATTAGCCAATATTAAAGATAAGGAGAGAATCTTAAAAGCAGCAAGAGAAAAGGAGACAGTTACCTACAAAGGAGTACCCATAAGACTATCAGCTGATCTCTCAAAAGAAATCTTACAGGCATGAAGAGGCTGGAAAGAATATTCCAAGTCATGAAAGACAAGGACCTACAACCAAGATTACTCTATCCAACAAGGCTATCATTTAGAATGGAAGGGCAGATAAAGTGCTTCCCAGATAAGGTCAAGTTAAAGGAGTTTATCATCACCCAGCCCTTATTATGTGAAATGTTAAAGGGACTTATTTGAGGAAAAGAAGATCAAAACTATGAACAGTAAAATGACAACAAACTCACAGAGATCAACCATGGAATCTAACAACAAGAACAACAACAAAAAAACAAACTAAGCAAACAACTAGAACAGGAACAGTATCACAGAAATGGAGCTCACATGGAGGGTTATCAGCAGTGGAGTGGGAGGGGTAGAAATTGGGAAAAGGTACAGGGAATAAGTAGCATAAATGGTAGGTAGAAAATAGGGGAAAATTAAGAATAATGTAGGAAATATAGAAGCCAAGGAACTTATATATACCACCCATGGACATGAACTAAAGAGGGGGAATGCGGGTGGGAGGGGGTGTGCAGGGCAGAGGGGAATAAAGGGGGGGAATGGGACAACTGTAATAGCATAATCAATAAAATATATTAAAAATAATAAAAAAGGAAACAAAACAATGAACAAACAAAACAAAGCAGAAACAAACCCTTAGATATAGAGAACAAACTGATGGTTATTGAAGGGTCAGGGGTTGGGGAAAGTAATTTAGAAAAATTCAAAAGTAAAGCACAGTATCTGGCATACGAAAAGAAAAAAATATATCAGCTTCCAGAGGCAGACAGTAGGTGGAGCTGTGAAGGTGAGAGAGCTGGGTTCAGGTTGTACGGCCTCAGTCTCCTGTCTGCTAGAGGGAGTGATGCTAGTGGTCTGTGAAGAAGGGGTGTTCGGAGAGGCACAGACCGGCGGGGCTGCTTCTGGGAGCACTGAGGTCTGAGGCGAACAGCCTGCAGCGTTAGGAGGAAATCCACTGCCATGAGCAGTGGTGACGTGGGGGCTGGGGTGTGACCCCAGGGCACTGAAGCCTTACCTGCCAAGGACACTCTCCTTTGGGGCACACCTTGCCACCCACAATTCGGCCTTGCTCTTGCCTACCATTTCTTTTTTCCAGAACAGGTATTTTTCCACATGGATATTCAACTGTATAAAACAAAAGTCGCAAGACGTGGGGGGTTATGAGGGACGAACGGGCCGGTGAGAGAGGGCTCTGAGCCCTGCGGGTGGTGGCTCTGCCTTGGGCTCCTCTGTCCAGGTAGGCCGGGGCCTCTGGGTTCAGGGAGGCCCGTGGGAGCTGCTGGGTGAGCAGAAGGGACAGAGACTGGTTTTGTAGGAACAAAAAACCCTACTTTTTGAAACTGGTTTTTGCTATTTTTTCTGGGGAAAGATGAAGTGCTGCTTGAGTTTGCTAAAAGATGGTGATATTCTGCGTAAAGCCCACGGCAGCCTCTCCGACAGCTGTGCAGTTCTGACCCCACTGCTGGTTTCGGTCTGTTCCAGTGCAGCCCTCGGCCCAGCAAAGGAAGTGTTTAGAGGCAGCAGCTGAATTTCGAGCTGTGTTGACCATGTTGGGTACCTTCACCTCTGAAGAGACACAGAGCTTAGGGTGTCCCAGTCTTTGGAATTGCAGCCCCATCCATTTGAAGTTGGCTTACAGAAATTTCCATTTTCCTAAAAGTGCTTGCCTTTAGAAAAGATTTGGAAACCGGAACTGTGCTGTAGTCAGCATCTCCCATGGGGGTGGCAGTGTAGATTCCCAGTGGAGGGGACCGGAAGTAGGGTGGGGAGAGCTTTGCTGTGCTCCTCTGGGCCCACCTGAGATGGGCAGGGGGTCTGGGGCCCATCCAAGGAGCTGCTCCCAGGGCTCTGTCCTGCCTCGTTGCCCTGGCCCTCCCTCCACCCTCAGTCTCCTCCCTGCCTCTGAGCATGTAGTGGTCAGCACGTAGTAGATGCTCAGTTAATGGCACGTGGCCCCTTTCTCATTTTTAGCCCAAGAAGAACTTGCAGCCAGACAGAAATGGCTGACTGCTCATCCAGCAGTGAAACGGTACACGGCCCTTGGAGCAAACCCCGGAGGGATCTGTGGGAAAGATCTGTTACCTGTGGGTGCACAGGACACCCCGTCGGTCTGGAGTGTGTACCCCTCGTGACACCAGCAGGAGCGCTTGGCCCCCACGTGGTCCCTGCAGTACTGCTCGCAGCCCCCGTTCTCGTTCTCGCAGATCAGCTGGTCATCCTTGTCTGGGTGCAGAAGGAGACAGACTGAGAGGGGCCTCTGCTGGTCAGGGAAAGCCAGCCCTGGTGGCTGCCCCTCCTTGGGCTGGGGGCAGCATTCTGCACGAAGGTGGTGCTCAGCTGCCAACTACAGAGTCCGAGCCTGTCCCTACCCAACTCTGTGGATTGATCCAGAAAGGTGGGCCGTGGGTTTGGGTGCTCATCCACATCCGAGCAGCCTAGCCAGTGGGGACATGGGGCCAGCATGCAGTGGTCTCCATACTGTCACCCCTCCTGGCAGCTGGCAGGTGCTGAGCAGGGCCTGGGGAAAGTAAAAGTTACCTAGCAACAGTAGAGGAGCCTGACTCAATCAGAGACCTGTAGAGTGGTAAGATTGCTCTACAGCTGGGCCCTGAAGCCCAGTGACCCCTGGTTCAAACAGACAGAGGGGGACATTCAGCCTGACTCTGCAGGACAGAACTTTGGGGTGGGAAATGGTTGGCTTGTGTGGAAGGGTGGCTGAGCACCACTAGCCAGGCCAAGACACGGAGGCTTCCCAGCCCCGTGTAACTGGCAGGAAGCCGCTTTCCTGAGTCTTTCCTCCTCTCTAGCTGGCCTCTGCTCTGCTCAGAGCAGAAGTCAGCTCTGGCCCACAAGGGGCTGGCTCAGCCTCTAGAGGGGCTGCGGACTGAGGTCAGCCATGTGGGTGGTCAGCCACGATGACGCGACTGAGCACCAGTAAAATCTCTGAGCACTGAGGCTCAGGTGCACTTCCTGGGTGGTGATGCTCCGTGCATCTTGTCATACATCAGCCTTGGAGAATGAAGGACTGTGCATACGGCTGCCCTGGCCAAGGACAAGTTACTCCTGGCCCCTTTGCTGATTTTAATCCATATCTTTTTGCTGTAATAAACTGATTAAATCAGTTTCCAGTGAGTTCTGTGAGTCTTTCCAGCACATTATTGAACTTGAGAATGTGGGGGGGTCCCTGAACTTTGCAGTACTTTAGTATACGGAAGGTGAAAAAAGTATCTCATGCCTTTGTAATAGCAAGTCGAGAAGGTCAAGTTTACCCAACCGTCCTGGCTGGCAGAATATGTGGAAGCTGGGCAGTGATGGAGTGGTTTTCACCTTTGCTTTTTCCAGGTGTATCTGAATTTCCCAGTGCCAGGAGCCCAAAGTCTGTAGATCCCAGAAGGGAACAGGGGCAATCAGATTTGAGAATTGACACCTTAGAACACCAGATCCAAGGCTCTCAGGTTGGCAGAGGCCTTCAAAGTCACCAAGGCAGACTCCCCACCGGGACCCAGGGCCAGCTCCATGCCTGACTGGGACCCAGGGCCAGCTCCATGCCTGACCGGGCCGTGCCCACCAGCCTCCTCCAGGGACCCTGTCTGCAAGCTGCGGGATTTCTCACTTGTCTCACAGTGCCGGCCCTCGAACTCCTCAGGGCAGAAGCAGATGTAGGACTGGAACTGGTCCTCACAGGAGCCTCCGTTCTGGCACGGATTCGAGGCACACTGGTCCCCATCTGTGGAGTGAGTCAGTGTTAATATGCCGAGGAGAAGGGCTTGACGGTGGATATAAAGGGGCCATTTACCTACTCACCTGTGTAAGAAATCCAGAACTTCTCCTGAGGGAACAAAGAGGAAGGCATGTGAGAGACACGTCCACCAGAAGCACACATTTCTGGTGTCTGTTGAGTGACCTGATGAACGAGGTGGGCTGGGGGCATCTGACCTGGGGCCCTCGCAGTGGGCTCTGGAAGTCAGGCTTTCTTCTGGGTTCCTCTGGGGGACAATGGTTTTTCCTCATCCCTTGAGCCCCACTGCAGATCATTAAGGCCGCCAGAGGTCAAAAATTTCCATCTCCTGGTCAAACTACCCAAGTTTCAGCCCCAGTTAGCTCCAGCTCCGCCACCTCTGAGTTGTGGACCTGGGACCAGGCACACGTGCACGCTGAGCCTCCATCCCCTCCTCTGGTGCTGGGTCACCACCCACGCATGTGGGCGGACACGAGGAGCAGGTCAGTGGTGAATGGAAAGGCATTCAGGGAACGCAAGGGGCTCCATCAGTAACATTGATATCCCCAGGAATCTGTTGGCCAACTGAACTTATACTTACAGCATCGCTATGAGAATAAAACAAGATAAAAACTGTTGAAGCTGCTTTGGAAACCTAACTGGTGCATGGCCGCCAAGTGTGTCCATTTTCAGCTTGCACAGAAAGGGTCACTACTGGCCGCCGTCTCAAACAGCCCTGCTCCCTGCTGGCTGTGAGGTGTCCCGTGAGTGGGAGCCTGACCCACTGCCTACTGAAGTGTTACATTTTTTGAAGGGATGTGATACATTTTAAACGTGTCTCTTTTAGAAAATGGAAACCGAAATGAAAACCCTTCTAGCCACATGGCTCAGGGCAGGTGGAGGAAGCAGTGGTGGCCGTTGCGCCCTCACATGTTTCTCTAGGGAGGTGCCCACGGCCAGCGCGGCAGTGAGAGGCTCGCCCAGGCCAGCGTCTCAGGCAGCTGCTCTGGCAGCAGCACCTCTGTGAAGCAGGGTGGGCTGGGACGGCAAGGGGCACATCGAGTGTGCTTTTCAAGCTGTATTTTCTGATGCAAAGATTGGGATGCATGGTGTGGCCGAGAGGAGGATGTCCCTGGGAACAGGGGGAGGTAGGGAGCATCGCAGGACCTCGGCGGATTGAGGAAGGTGAGGCAATCTTGGGAGGAATAGTGACCCAGACATGGAGGGGCTGTGCGTGCCAGTGCCACCTGCGTGTTCACCTGTGTGTGTTCACCTGTGCACACGGCACAACCACAGAAGTGAAGAGACTTGGCCTCCAAGACTCGGGGCGACCCCCACTGTCACAGAACTCCCTTCCACAGACTCAGCACACTGTGCTAGGGTGCCCCCTCAGGGCGAGCTCACCAGTCTCTCCTTGTTCCTGAAGATCTCCCGGGCCTCCTCGAAGGAGCACTGTTCCTCCTTGCACTCCCTCTCCAGGGAGCCCGGCATCAGCTCCTCCAGGAACCAGTTGGCACGCCTCTGTCTGCGCAAGACACTTTGGGCTTCCTCCTGCGTAATGAAGACTGAGCAACGGGAGTCCCATGAAACGTCCGCAACCTGCCACGCCAAGGTGGCGCAGAAACCCTCCACTCTGGTCTCGTCCACGCAGGGTCAGCGGGGCCCCGCCTGCAGGGCTGGCCCAATTTGAAACAGGAGGGCTTTCTCATGGCTGCCTGGGGACAGACTTCATGCGCAAGGATGAGGCAATATGTTCACAAAATAATAGTTGAACACGCTCACACCTTTGGACCCGGTCACTTCGCCTCCAGGAACTGGTGCTAAGGAAATGCCCAGCGGCACGCGCAAACACCTACCCACAAGGAGAGCTGCGGCTGACAGTCATCTGAAGCAACCAGGCGGCGGTGCCCTGTGCCACCAGGAAACGGAACACTTGGGAAGATGCGGTAGTAAGTGAAAAAAGAAGATAATAAAACAATACCTACTGTATAATATTTTCATTAAATAAAAGAGTATATATGAGTAAATGTGATTTATTGAAAGGATGTACATAAATAATTAACTTTGGGGATTAACAGCTGTTGTGTTCCGAAATGCGCACCATCAACATGTAATTATTCCATGATAGACGAAGTACGCATGTGCCGTGTCCCTGGGACCTAGAGCACTGCGTCAACAGTTGCAGAATGAATGAGCTGGAGGGTCCCATGTGGGAGGGTGGTCCTGTGGGATGTGCATTTGAGAGAGTCAGGCAGCAGGGAGAGGCTCAGCCTGGGTGGGGGTGAGGTAGGCAGAGGCGGAGGCGGCCGAGACAGCGGGAGAGAGGACGAGGGTGGCCTGACACAGGGGCGGGTGGAGTGGGGGCATCCCTTCTCTCCATTTAAAAGCTCGAGGGTCCGTTTGCTGGCACCCCTCTTCTCTCCACCCCTGCAGCGCTGCCTGAACTGAAGAGCTCCGGCCTCCTCTGGGTCCTTCCTGAGCGTGTGCCGCCAGCAGCATGGAGCAGCTTCGGGCCCCCTCCTGGAATCTCACAGGGGTGCCCATAGGTACTTGCAGGTAGCTGGTGTCCCCAGTTTTGCTTATGAGAAAGGGAGGTGGGTGAGGCTTAGAAGTCGCCCAAAGCCACTCAGTGTGGGGGTGATGGAACCAGTCTGAACTCCTTGAATTTGGGGGTTCCTTGGACAAGCAGGCAGACATGGGATCTGCACCCCAGACGAGGGCTTGGTGATGGCGGTGAGGATGTTGAGGTTGGTGAGCTTATACGGAGGTTGAAGTCAAGGGCACGGATGAGGCAGGAAAGTCCCCAGAGCTCCAGGCACTGTCCCACTGTGTGTAACCAGTGCTGTCGGAGGCTGCATAGTAAGTGACCCTAAGCAGGGTGTACATAGGGTAAGCAGAATGAAGCCAGCACTGAGGGCAGAAGCCAAGTATGGAAATAAGTCCCAGAGGAGAGAGGAACCAGAGACCAGCTTGGGAGGGGCTGAGGCTTCCAGACAGAAAGGGCGAGGTGTCCGTGCAGCCTCCTTCTATCAGGAGCCTCTGCTGAGAGGGGGCCTCCAGGACAGGTGGGGACAGGCGGGAGGAGCGGAAGTGCCAGCTCCCGGGCCACCCAGGCCGAGGGAGGCCACAGCATCTTTAAAATAAGACACTTTCACCTGTCTGTGTCTTGGGGAGTCGATCTGGTTTGGAAGAGTTTGAGGCTAAGTCAAAGAATGGAGGCTCCTGAGAGGGGAGCTGGCTGCAGAGCCCACGTGGGGAGGGGGAAGGTGGGCACTGGAGACAAGAGACCATGAAAGAGCCAGCGGCTAAGCAGAGCAGAGTCACCTGCCCATGGAAGGGAGCAAGTGTGCAGTCGGAAGCCCTCAGGGAACCAGAGACAACCCCGATAAAGTAACACACGATCACTGCAGACAATTTGGAAAAGATGGACTGATACAGGGTGCAGCCGGGGGAGGGGGGCCCAAAAAAGATTTGGAATCGTGCCCAGAATTCAAAGTGTATAAGAATATTGGAGAGACATATAAGATGTCCTCACCACCCCCCCAACAGGTATGAGTTGGGGAGAAGGGACACATGGAGCAGGAACATGCAGGGCTGTTTTGTATAGCCACAGCCTTGCAGCTAATCCATGGCATTGTCTTTTAACATATCTATAGCCTTTGGCAGGTCACTTGGATATGTTAAATGGCTGTGGCCAGGCTTGGAGCCAGGGGGATGGAAGTCACTTCCACCAAGATATAACTGGGGGCAGGTCCCCCAAGTTACAGTGCCTGTGTAGGAGCTTGGAGAAGATTGGCTCTAGGACATGGGATGATTACTGCCCAGACTAACCATGGCAGCCCAGGAAACTTGTATTAATACAGAAATACTGGCAGGTGTAACTGATTGTGGGAGGAGTCAGAAATAGGGGTACAGAGGAAGATGGGTGTGAGGATTTAAAAGCCAGACATAGTAGCCATTCAGGGAGAGAGCCACGCGGTTTCAGCAGAGTGAGGACCCCCTCTAGGTGAGGTGAAAGAGGGAGCCACGTGGTTTTGGCAGAGTGCGGACCCCCTCTTTCCCAGGTGAAAGGGAAAACCATGCAGCTTTGCTAGAATGGAGATCCCTGCAGCCAGGTGAAGAAGAAAGCCACATGCTTTTGGTGGAGTGCGGACCCCTGCAGCTTTGGTAGAAGAGGCCCAAGCGGCTTTGGGGTGCCCCCTTTGGCCGCGGGTCCTGGAAAGCAGGAGAGACTTTGACTAGAACTTGGTAGAAAGAACTCTTGTCAGTGGACCGTGAGAAGGTGCCACATGATTGGATTAACGAGGGATCCTGCCTACATGGTGACACAGCTGACGGTGCCAGCGGCCTGAAAAACACAGACGTGTGGGTTTTTTTTTCCTGATTTACGGTACCCAGAGTTGGGACAGTGGGAGGAGGGAGAGCTGTGTGGGTGTAGGTGTATACCCTAAAGGAGTTTGATATTTTAGTGGAGGCATTAAGCCTGAATAGCATTAAATAAACATTTTGTTTCCTTTTCACAAATCTCTGGCATTGAGAGATGTCTTTCCAATTGGTGGCGGACAGAAGAGCCCAGTAGATTTTAGTATTTTGTCCTTGGGAGGGGCCCCTGTTGTGTAGCAGTTTTTGGCATCCCTAGGTGGGCCGAATATTGTATTGCCCCTCCCTCGGACCTCTTGTTCGGTAACAGGACCACAACAAGGAAGATGAGGAAAGCCACTTGCAACTCCTCACAGTTTTCCAGGCATAAGAAAGAACAACAGGCAGCACCGACTTTCTCTGCAGCAGGACACGCTCCCCTCTGGGCACCTGCGGTCGTCAGGGCAGACGACTACCACTCGGATCCCCGGCCAGTTTCTCTCGGTGGGATGTGAAGTGTGGCAGGATAGGAAGAAGCCAGGGAAACTCCTTGACAAGTGTGGTAAGGGAAACTGAGATGAAATCATTAAACAAGGCCAAACAATCTGAGTAACTGACAGCCAGCTAACCAGTCACCAGGTTTGATCTTCTCTAACTAAGGGACACTCAGGAGCACGTGATTCACACATTCCAGGGCGTCTGGGGCAGGCCCCCTCCATCCTGGTCCCTCCTCAATAATGTTCTTTAAAAATATAAAAGTAACCAAAAGAGCCCTTGATCTCTATACACATATTTTGACAAACCAGCATATTGAAGGACACCTCTGAAAAGCTAATAAATATTCTGTTAAGACCCTCCCCTGAGACCTTCCCTAGGATTTGGCCAACTGCCAAGGAACAAATGGTAAGAAGGGTTCAGACAAAGAATCCTCAGCATGCTCTTTGCTGGAGCCTGCCGGTGCCTCGTGTCTGCTAAACTTTAAGGGTCCCCAGGAAACTTGCAACCCGGGGAAGAGCGGTCAGCAGCAGCTGGTCCCGGGCTAACCCCCAGCCCCCATCTCCAAGGCCCTGTTTCTCACTTTCTCTCTCCTGCTGCTGCTTCTACCTTTAAGCCCTTCCTTTGTTTCACTGTCACCTGCTTTCATAAACAAACTCCAAATCGTGTGGACGCCTGTTGTGGAGTCTTTCTTACACGAAGTTGAGAACTGACAGTCCACCGGCAGCAGAGGCGGACACGCTCCACGCCCAGACCCTGCCCGGCAACAGAAGGACGAGGAAGCAGACTCTAGAGGACGTGTCAGGACCTTGTCTCCACCAGGCTGTCACTCGGCACTGTGAAGTCTGGATGAGGACAGCCGGTAAACGTGTGCCAGAGCTTCTCCTCTCAGGCCTCTCTGCACCCTCGAGGGGCTGGGAGGGTGGCCGCAGTCACAGCCAGGGAGGGTCCAGAGCAGTGCAGCCCAGCGTCCCCCCACCGTCCCTGGCACTTGCCAACTGAAAACCCGGGAGAGCATGAGGTTAAGCACAGCCCCACTGCACGCACCCACCCCACACCCCTGAGCCCCAGATTCTGTTCTTGTCCAACTGCACATGTAGGTCCCCACCAGTGAACAGAAAAGCACTTCAAGTTCCCAAAAGTCTTTGAAAAATAATTCTGCCAAAGTCTGCAGAATCAATAGCACTCTTTCCGCCAATGCCTGGCAATACCTGGCTACTGTTTGCTTTTGGAAGGAAAGCAGATCACACTGCAGCCAGCAAATGCTGCTGGTGAACAGGAATGAAGGTGAGGTCGGGGAGGCTCGGTTGCCAGAAGCTGGGCTGCCCTTCTCACTGGGTTTGTAGGGTAACCTCCACCCACCCTCCCCCTAGGCCCCTAACATACCTGCAGCCAGAGACCCCTGCAGACTCAGCAGAAAGCAGAGGAGGGCCAGCCCACCAGGCTGGGAAAGCATGGTGAGGTCCACTGTATCACTCCCTGTCTGTCGACATTCCAGTGCGGGGGCGGGGTGTGGGGGGTGAGCAAAGTTCTCAAATTGCCCAGAGGGATGGGGGAGGGAGACCTAGCTTCCCAAACACTCTGGGCCAAAGGCATGCTGGAGGGGCATCAGGAACAGGACAGGGCCTGAGCCCAGGACACCCTGCCCGGAGAGCATGGCTGAGTCGCCGAAGCAGAGGTTCCTTCTCTGGAACGTCGGTGTTAGGGAGCGCATCTGGCCATCAGCATCTTAAATCAGTTTAGGATTTTGAAGCCCACAGGACTTATGACTACAATTGGGAAAACAGGGTTAAGCTACAGTGAAAAACCATCACCTACAATAATAACACTGGTCAAAGGAGAGCACATATTGGGTGCGAATGTTACTGTTTCCAAGAGGGCCACAGAGGAGGCCGAAGGGGCTGTCTTCCCTTTGGAGGCCTGGTTTCCTGGGGGAGCCAGAGCATCTGGTGGAGAGGCGAGGCACCCGGAAGGGGCATCTGCCCCTAGTTGAACCACCAACTCCGTTTTGGCTTCAGGTGGCACTCCCTGTCCTTGTGGTCCCAGAACCCAGGGGCACTGCCAGGCAGAAAAGGGTTTCCCAGGATGCCAGACTTCCTGTGCTGAAACTGGGACTGTCCTGGCCCCTGGCATCCCGCCTCCAGAGGCCTGGGCTGCTTCTCTGGAAATCACATCCTTTCTGCGGGTGGGTGGAAACTGGGCACCCCAGCTCTGTTTATTTCTGGCAGGGTCCCAGCCCATTCCCCAGATGGAAGATTGAGTCCTTAGAGGACATGTTTTATTGATCAAATCTGGAATTTTTAATGATTGCTTAATTATTTAGGAATTTAATTATACAGGAATGTATTTGTGGAGGAGGGAGGGAGGAAGGAAAGGGGTATTTGACCTCCTCCCAGCCAGGGCACTTTCTGGAGGCATCTCTGCCCCTGATTTTCCTTGGACTCTTCTCCTTATTGGAATAGCTAACAACCCCAAAGCACCATCTGAGTCCCATATCTGGGGTAATTTTCTTAAACTGCAAGTCAATTTCTTTGTTATTCATCAACCCAAGTATTTTGTTTCTTCCTAATTAATGTTAACAATTTGCTTTCTTTAAAAAAAATCCTACTCTGTTTTCAAATGTATTGGCAGAAAGTTGTTCATAATGGTTCTCTCATTCTAAAGCCTGTATGTGTTGTGAAGGTTATCAGTTTTTTTCTATAAGTTGCTGTATTTTATTATTTTTTCAAGGAATAAGGTTTTGATTTTATTGGTTTGTCTTGATTTTATTATTTTCTCCTCTGAATTGTTCTAATTCCTTCTTTGGGTTATACTAGCCTTATTTTTAGTTTCTTTAAATGGTCAACTCATCAATTTTGTCACATAAAATATTAAATGCACCGGGCTATCCACGCCACTCTGAATAATGCTTTAGCTGCACTCATGAGCTCTGAGATGCGTAATTCTGCCTAGTCCTACATATATGAGAATTTCCAACGGTATTTCTCTCCTAATCTTTTAAACTGGGTTTTCATTGTTTTGTAGACATTTGTGTATATTCCATGCATGCTGAAAAGTCATGCATATTTTTTCTATTGTTATGGTAAAATGTGTATTAATTTCTTTGAGATAATTAATTTTTTGCTCACAATTGCTGATTTGCTCTCTATCTTTCAAGCATACTTGTTAATGCTCACAAGTTCTAAATTTAATTTCATATGTCATCAATATTGCTATCCCAGCTTCCTTTTGCTTTGAGTTTGCTCTTTTTTCTTTCTTTTATTTTCAACCTTTGTATAATTTTGTTTTATGGTCTCTTTTAGCAGTTGTTACACCCAATTTGATACTCTTTCCATAGGTCAGGTTCACATAATTGCATTGGTTGTGGCTGAGAACTATTGGGACGTTTCTCTTCCACCGTCTTCCGTGTTCCTGTTCATCATGATCCCCCCTCCACACCTGCCCCTCCGCTGTGGGATTGACAACCCTCCCATCTGCTCCGCCTTTCTGGTTTAACAGCTACCGGCTGCATTCTTGTTCGGGCATGGCAGTTCTACACTTCTTTTGTGACCTTTACATTGTCGGCACACGTAAGCTTGTTGTTGTTCTACCTCGACTGCTTTCTGACAAGGTAAAGCGTATGAAACGTACCCGGGCTGTGTTCACTGCCGTATTTCTGTTTCAACACGTGCGTGCCCTCCTGTGAGTAGGGTGAGCAAAAGGAGACACAGCGGTGCTGCGAACTGAAGACAGGAGGAACTCTGTGCCTTCACAGAGGAAGGCAGACAGCAAGAGCTGCTGATATTTATTCAAACTTCATCCATACAATAAAGGGTTCTGGTTTTCAAATTTCGTTTACATCCGCAGGGGAAGAAAAGAACAGTGGCCGAAACATGGAGTTTTAAAGTGCCTTTAGAGGAAGAGATCACAGAGTGGTGGCCAGTCCCAGGCTGAGATGGCAGGAATGGCATCTGAACAATCCATATATTAATTAAATTACGAGACACATTATTTTTCAAATAACTTATACACCAGAAGAAAAGCTGCCAAGTCTGACACGCTGTTTCATTTTATTACCACACTCCAGAGAGGCCTGGTGGGCGAGGCCGGCCTTGCAGGTGGGGGGGCGGGGAGGAAGCCTGCTGGCCGCGCTGCAGTAGGGCCGGGGGCTCGGGGAGGGCTGTAAAGTGACACATTGCCAGCAGCATGGAGGCTATAAATACGTCCCTTACATTGGATACATATGTACACACATCCACATATATACACACATATAAAAATATCTGCCCCAACCACACACAGAGAGCGTTGCCAAAGAACAGAATTTGTTTCTGAAACACAAAACAGGGTAAAACAGAAGAGCTTTCTTCCCAGTTCTGCTTTGATTGGAATAAGATAACGCTGCACCTTTAATTTTCTGTATTTAGGGTGGTCCCATAGAACATGCGCAGGGCGATCTCTCAGCCTGTGCAGGTGGGGGAGGTTGAAAGGAGGGAGAGGTGAGGTGAGCTCAGGTTCTCACCGAGCTGCAAGTGATGTCATTGGTTCAGATGAGACCCTGCAAAAACTGCATCTTCATGTATTTACTGTTCTTTAAAAACAATAAAAAACCCTAATTCAGTGACACATGTTAAAAAAAAACCAAGAGTCCTCATTTTTTTTTTTTGTAGAAAAGGAGGTTAGTATTTTAAATTTTCTTTTGAAAATTAACTACCCAGGTAAAGGAATTTTCTTGGTTTCTAACTGCTTTCCTTTGTAGAAATGCTGCTTGGTTTTATCAAAGGCTGTGTTTTCATTCCCGTCACGGGGCGGGCTCGGAGAGTGCCGTCAATTTCCACGAGAGAGTCCCCCAAATCATTCAGGGTATACAACGTGCTGCAATGTAAACCCCAGTAACAAAAAAATAGTTTCATATCAAATGCAGTATCAAATTGTCATTTCATGTAAACACAGTGATTCTTGGTAAAGATTAGAGGCCAAAGTACCACCAAAAAATGGCCATGGGGTTAACCCCCGCTTTAAAAAAAATTTGTAAAAGACAAAATAGTCCCCCCACCCCCTCTCTCTTCAAGCTGTTGGGTCGGTGGATCTGTCACTTCTTTTGGAAGCAGCCCCACAGCACACGCCCCTGCAGAAAGCACCAGACCGGGCATGTCGGAAACCAAAGCAGGGCAGTGGGGACCGGCCCCTCCCGGCTGCCTGGCAGAGGCCTGGCAGACAGCCCCCGCTCAGAGCCCTTCTGCACAGGGGGTCTGCCGGCCCGCAGCCACGCTCTGTTTGTTCAGATGTCCCGAGGAAGCTTGGTGTTGCCATGGGAACTGGTTTCTGTGCCCTGGGAGGGAATCCTGGCTTGGAGGCTGGAGAGCAGAATCTTCCTGAATCGTTCCTCCGAATGCCCCATGTGCTGCACCGTGAGGTTCGGTGGGCAGCAGGCAGCTCATTGTTCAGGTCTTGTCAGGGTCTTCCTTTCCCAGGGCGTCTTAGAGCACCATCCCCTCACCAAACTAGGCAAGCCCAAGCAAAGGAAAACTTAGGGGCTCGCGGGCTGGTCTCCTGCACTGGGGGCCCGGCCGGCGCTACCCCTGCAGGTCAGAGAGGGGGCCGCCGCAGCTCTCGCTGCAGCTGGAGGAGTTGCTCAGCAGAGCGGACCCTGTGCTGGACTCTGCGGGAAAACCAGGCGAGAACGGCTTCGGCTCCATGCGTGCGCACGCAAGTCCCTCTTTCTTGTTAAACAGGCTCAAGGCTGTGAAACCCGGTGGGCTCAGGGCACGGTCAGCGTGGAACGGGGGGTCTTACCTGAGCTGCTCAAGCACTGTGCCGAGCCGGACTTGCTGAGGAGCATGGACAGGCTGCTGGCTGGCACCCAGCCCTCCTTGCTGGAGGTCAGGTTCCTGACATACCTGTGGGGGGGTGTGGGCCAGTCATTGGCTCCAGCCCATGTGCCCAGAGTGGCTTCAGGGAGAGCACACTGTGGGGCATCTTACCAAAGGCCCTCGTCGCCCTCCTGAACCACCTCTACCATGTCTCCGCTCCTCACAGCAAGCGTGTTGGGGCCTCCCTTCTCATCGTCCACCACGATGGTGTACTTCCCTGGAACCTGCGGAGAAAGACACACAAAGCCCTCTGCTTCTGTCTGCAGGCACTGAACGCAGGCCACAGTGACTATCCAGCAACAGGCTGGAGTGGCCTCTGAAGGTCCAGTGATAGAAAAGGGAAGACGCGAGCACTTTGCCAGGGCCCTGCCATTCGTGGAGTATCTGGTGTAGTGACTACCTTAAATGGGGAAGGTCTCTATGCTAGGTCCCATACTGTGACCATGTTAAAAAACAAACAAACAAACCACCAAAAAACCCCTACTTGACCTACAAAGTGTCCGCAGCTTGTTCCTGGTGGTCTGGCCTTGCTCCTCTGCCCCCTCTACTTCTGCAACACTGAGCAGGTCTCAAATACTCCGAGCATACCCGTTGGCCCCAGGACCTTTGCACCTGCTGTTCCCTCCTCCTGGAATGCTCTTGCCTCCTTTCTGCACTGGCAGCCACCCTCATCTAAATGCTATACACTTTATTATTATTGTTTTGCTTCCCGATAGAAGACATTCTTGTCTATTTTGTCCTCTGTTTTGTCTTCAGTGCCTAGAAAAGTGCCTCACACAGTAGACGCTCAACACGTATTTGTGGATGGTGCTCTCTGTAGAGGGCATGGGCCCTCAGCAGAGCAAGCTGTTCTGATGGTGCATGGGGGGATCTCAAGCCTCAGTTGGAATCAAGACAACATGTGACAACGCGTGGCTAAACTGCAGGATGGGGCTGCAGGGCTGCAGGGTTTGGAGGCCAGGAGATCAAGGGTCGGAGTCCTTTATCCTCATCGGAGCCGCCATGCCCTCTCAGGGGGACTGGCACTGGCCCCTAATGGGCCCTGAGCAGCCAAAATCATGTCCCCTGCTACACACTGAGAGCAGAATCCAGACCCCCACTGGAGACTGCCTGGCCTCAGAGCCCACCCACTTCCTGCCCCGCTCTCCCTGCGAGCCTGCCTCAGTGTCCCCCTGTGTAGCTCTCCTCACCTCAGGCCTTCTGGGGCAGGGCCACCCTGACCATGCTGAGACTCTCCCTGTTTCAACCATTTCCTTGTGTCTGCCCCGGCACCCCGGTTCTGGGATGTCCCGTGAGCTGCAACAGCCCTGGCACTAGAGCCAGGACGGCACTGTGTGTGCAGTAAATTCCCATGGGCATGATCCTGACTGTAGTGACTTAATATGTAAATAGCTTCTCCCTGATGCGCAAGTTAGAACAGGACCTTGTTTAGAGTGCAAAACCTGAAGACAGTGTTACTCTCTTCAGAATGAGACAGAGGTGTACACACAGCTATAAGGATGCTAATGGGAACATTCCACTCTCCCGAGGGGCAAAGTGCTGCGCGTGGTTCCCGTGGAAGGACGGCCTCCTCGTGTGGTGGTCTGATGATGGTGAACTAACAGAGAGGTGGGGACACAGGGCCACAGGGAGTCCTGGCACCTAGAAGTCCTTCCCACTGGCCATGGGAACTGCAGACTATCAGGCTGGAGCTTTGGGGACCAGCAGCGCCAGGCTGACTGCCCTGGGAGAGCCAAGATTACCAGCTTCCTGGGGCCCACTCCGCCTTCTTCCTCCGCATCTGAGGAATTAATTGGCTCCTCAGCACTCGACCAGCCGTCGTTGTCCTCAGGGGCCTCCAGTGGGTGAGATGTTTTGCTCCAACCTGAGAGAGAAATGGGCTCCGGTGAGGACTGCCCTCAGTGACGAGCCTGTCTGAAGATGATCTACAGAAGTCCCTACAACCCCCAAAATGTGCCACCCGCGTGGAGCCTGCCCTCTTCCCAGGAGCTCGTAAAGACTGCAGGGCACACTGCTGATTTCTGAAATGCCTGTCACGTTTGCAAAGAGTCCAGGGAGATGGGGTCCAGAGAACCCACTTCCACCATCGGGCCAATCGGGGGAAGACAGGAGCTGCCAGCCCGCCCCTGGGCGGCTGTGCACTTCTCCAGCAGGCCCTGCAGCTCCCGGAGGAGGAGGAGCACTCCCCCTCACCCACCGGCCTCCTGACTGCTGGTCCCAGTCCCAGAGGAGCACAGAGACCCCGAAAGGCCACCAGCTGGAGGTACTGCCACTCCTCTGTGTCAAGGCCAATACATGGAAGGGAAGATGTTTTTAATGAATGCTTGTACCACTCAACACCCATCAGACTGGGCCAGAAGAGCTCCTCCCACGAATGGCTGAGGCTTACTGACAGAGCCCTGCTCCAGACACACTCCCAGCTCTGACATGTGAGTAAGGGGGTTGCGACCCTCACGGGACTGATACTGTCACATGTCTGAGCTTCTTTGGACCACGGAGACAAAGCTGGGACCCCAGCCCAGGCTGCTGGGCTGCAAAGCTAGTCTGCACGGGCTCTAACCATCTCCACTGGCCAGAAAATGAGGGGAAGAAAGCTTTCCTTTTAGACTTTATAAGATATATATATTCCTTCATTAGCATTTCTACTGGCAAGGATCCCCAAAGAGAAGCAAATGTTTTTCCCATTGGGGGGTGGGGAATACAAGTTGTGAGGAGATAGGAGGTGATGAATTCCTGATTCTGAATAAATGTAATAAATGCCAGTAATAAAGCACCAAGCGGAAGTTGGACTCCTCTGGTATTCGATCACAGCCCCCACATGGTCTTAAACCACGTTTCAACAGCAAGCGAGTGAATGTGGGCAATAAGCAGACTGCTTGTCACATCTGGGCTTGGGCACATGCAGTTCCAAGTTACATCGATGGCAGCTGGAAGCAAGCTGTTCCCCGAGAAAGAGAGGGTGCTGGGTGTGAAGGAACCACAGCGAGTCGAGCGCAAATGCATGTTCCCCTTTGTAAAGTTGGGGCCGCAGAGAGGCAAGCTGTGTAATGGCCAGTTCCCGAGGCTGAGAATGTTTAAGCTGGGCAATGAAAACCTGGTGATGAACAGGCAATAGAAAGCCATCTTTGCCTTCCTAGGAAAGGGAGCTGGCGCCCAGAGTTCCCCATCAGCCAGCAGAACAGTGAGCCCCAGGAAGAAAGCATGAGTGTGCCTACATCCTCAGAGCCAAAGAAGCCAGCGGATGCCAGCAGCCCTGGAAGCTCCTTCGAACACTGCAGCGGGCTAGGAGAGCCTCTGGGCTCTGCCTGCTTGTTGCCAGGAGCTGGGGCACAGGGAGGTGCGCTGAGCACGGCGCTGCTCACGTCCCCACCAGGCTTGTTGTCTGTGCTCTAATTGGGGGCTGTGCATTTCCAGCTACAAACCACCCACCCTTGCCTGCTTCAGGCACGTCTGGAATTGTCCCCACAGTGTGGGACACTAATCAGAGCACTGGGCAGGGGACACTAAGAGGGCCACAGTGACGGTAGCCTGGCTACAAACATCCCACCCTCCCCCCACCGAGAGATAACAGTGGGGTTTCTGGCAGAACAGGCAGAAGTCTGAGGCCAGTGAGGACAGGAAGGCGAAGCTGTTCTACGGGCAGAGCAGGCAGTGCTGCCTGGCCAAGGGACCTTAGGTTAGCCTGCGCTTCAGAGAGCCGCGTGGTTGTGTGTGTGACGAACTCTGCCCTCTGGCGCCTGAGGAAAAAGGCAGCATCGAGGCCTGTGGTTACTCCTTCTCTGCCGGAGAGCCTCTGGGTAAACCTCCTTAACAGGCTCCAGCAGCATCTCTGCCTTAAAACAGCGTGACGAAGGAATAAATAAGCAGAAAGTTCTGAGACCCGAGTGTGCCTGGGCTGCAAAGTGTGAAACAAGAGGATGCTATCGTTGGTCAGTGTCACAGCCACGGACCAGGGCAGCATCGCTCTCCGGTCTACATAAGACGGTGGGGATTCTGCAGGAGGACATTGGGCCAAGGTGACCATGAACATGGTCACCTCTACTTCCTGTAAGAGTCCCTGCATTGATACTGAGTCAGACAAGGGCTGACGAAGGAAGCACTGCAGCCTTTGTGAGGGGGGCTCCGGGCGCATCAGGGATGCACTTGCTGCAGGGACGGAGATGATCAGTGACCATGGGATGAGGAGGCGGAGCACTGGTTGCTGAGCTCCGGGCGCTGTGCTCAGGACTTTCACCCACATCCTCTGTGACCCTGTGAGATGGCCTTGTCTTCATCATACAGATGAAGACTGGAGCTTGTAGAGGGGACAAAATTTGGCTAAGAAGAGGTACAAGCAGCAGTTGAGTTGCTCTGGGATGTGGCCAAGGCCGCATCCACTGCTGCCCCATGCCAGCCTCCAGCACAAGGGAGCGACCACAGGGGAGAGGCCTCAGGTCTCAAATAGAAAATATGTAAGGGACAAAAATAGCCCTTTCCAGGAGAGAAATGACTTTTTTACCCAAGCACCTGGGGCAGGCTGGGTGTCACCCATGTGAAGGCTGCTGGAAAGGATCGGCCTCTGAGCTGCCAGGTCCCGGGGCGGTGTGAGGGCTGCAGCCTGGGTGCCCAGGGAGCAGAGCACGGTCTGAGGCCAGAGTGGGCCTCGGGTGTCCTCTGGGTGGCTCTGGCAGTGTGTGTGGGGGGGATTCTCGTTCAGTGTACACTCCTGGGGAACCTTTGCGATTGTTTGCAAAACTCAGGAAGAGTCACAAAGCGAAATCCTCTCTGGACCAGGGAACTCTCGGGGTTTCCCTGGGTGGCATGGGTGGGGGAGTTCGTGCTTGGAATATGAGAGGGCAAGAAAGGAGAAGGCCCGATGCCCAGCATAGAGCTTCATTCCTTCTGTCTGCATGACTGGTCATCTCCCCGTGAAATGAGAGGCCTGATGGGATCGGCAGCTGCCATGTCCTGTGTTGCCACCAAGAAGCACTGGGACAAACTGGTAAAGCTGGGGGCGACAGAAGCGGCAGGGGCCTGTGGACAGGGGTACCATGCAGCCTATGAAGCCACTGAGTAATAAGGTCCAACCCGACCCAAACACCAGCCAGGTCTCAGCAGCCTCTGACTAGTGGCCAGTGGGTAGTTTTGTAGGTTCCAGGCAGAGCTGGTGTGAGGAGTTCACCGGAGACGTGTGATGTCATCACAGCATCTGATGCCAGAGCATCGTGCATTTGAACAAAACAATGAGTTTGCTTCTGGTGAGTAGAGACCTACTTTGTCTACATTCTAGATGACATGTAATGGCAAGACAGCATCCCTAACCAGACGGGAAAATGGATGGCAGGCTGTGTCCAGAAGGTTGAGCCACTCTACCTCGTAAACCAAAAGGCGTTGGATCGCTCTTAACTTCATGTCGCTTAGCTTTTTTGTCAGGACTGGTAGGAGAAGCTGCAGAAGGAGGAAGAGGCAAAAATATAACAGGAGAGAAGAGAGAGAGTGAGGAACTGCATGCAGAGCCCCGAGGAGGCCATGAGAGAGTGCTTTCATGCTGGGATGGGACACAGACACCGAAAGGCTGATTGTCACCGACTCAAAGCAGCTTCCTGGGAACCAGGCTAAGCTGGCTGGAGGCTCCTGCAGGTGGACGGAGAGCGTGAGGGGTAACGAGAGATGAGGCCTGGTGTGCCGTGACTGTAGCAATCGGTATCATCATTCGGGGGCTGTCCTGGTTCATTTTCTGAGTTTTAGGTGCATTTTCTCAGCTATGCATATACTTTCCATAATTAGCAAAGTACGCGGTACCAGAATTTGTGGGTTTTTTTTTTTTTTTTTTAGTTTGAGGCTGACTTAAAAGTGTTCCATAGATTGGGGAAAAGAAGTATTTTATACATTGGGGAAATAATATTTTGGACCAGCGTCTGGACCAATGAAAAGACCCCTGGATGACGCTGGTTCTTGGTGTCCGGTGGAGAGCCCTGTGAGGCCCGCCTGGAGCTTCTGGGCTTGCGTCCTGAGCTACCTGGGTGTATTTCCCTCCCATTCAGTTCACTGTCCAGGAGCACGCAAAGGTGGTCAAGCTTTTAGAGGTCTCTTTCCGAGGGACCCTTGAGCTGCCCTGGGCATTAAAGGCCTGCAGGGGTAGCTGATACCAGCACGTCAGCTTCTGGCGGTGCAGAGTGATTGCAGCAGGAACAGTGAATGCCCAGAGGGACTGACAGGAAAAAGCAGGAAAGTGGGGGAGTTGGACCAAAAAAGCGAATGACAAGTTATTTCTGAGCAAGCCTTCCTTAGAAAAGTTCCCCTCATCTTTTCAAAAAAAAAAAGGCCCCCAAAAGAGAACTTCGGCTGCATGTACAGCAGACCCAGCAATGTCAGTAAAAAAGGTGAATCAGTGGAAAAATGCTTCTGAATGGCTGTGCGTGGGTGGAGCAGGCAGATGCCCTTCCCGAGAACATCCTCATGAATGATCACCACACAAATGGATGACAGACATGCCACCTTGGCAAGGGACATGTCCAGAAAATGATTCTGGGTGGGTGCCTTTTACCTTTCTGACCCTTGAGGTTAGCAAAGCCCTGCAGGGTAAAGCGCTTCTTGGAAAGCGCAGAGCTTTCTGAGGTAGAGCTAGTGACTGTGTCATCTACAAAGGAAGAGAAAGGGACAGTGCAAAGGGTGTCCGCGACCCAGGGCGGCTCTGGGGAGGGCACATGCCAGGTCAAGCAGGGGCTCATCTGGGAGGTTCCAGTGTCTGTGCAGAGAGGTCAGGGCACCCAGAATGTCTTACAAACGCTCCTTCGGGCCCACAGGAGGCCGTGCACCCGATACACCTGCTAACGGACACTTGTGACGCCGCTCCCGGCGCACCCGGGCTCCGTAGCCGCAGACACCCACCTCTGCCCTTTTCGGGGGGTTTTGGCAACGTTGTTGAGCTCACGTATCCTTCCAGACTCAGGGGGTCAGTTTTTCTTTCTTCCAACTTTTTGACGTTTCTTGTATTCCCTTTCGAAGGACTGATGACATCAGACGCATTGAAAAAGAAATAGAACATTGTCTGGTTAGTTTTTGAAAACTTGCCTGGAGGATTCAAGGCATCCAGACCGAATTCCTACCCGATCTTCACAGCACGTCCCCTACCGCCACAGAGCGGCCGAGCATTTCCAGACGAGGCCCGAATGGAACGGAATGAGGACAAAACCACCTTCTTAGCCATGGAGCAGGAGGTGGTCTGTTTGGGGGGCAGGTGGAGAGGGGCTGTTTTCTTTTAAAACCACCGTTCTACGGATTACCCATGTAGACCGTACCCTGTCCCACAAATGCTCAGAGGTGGAGACAGGAACCATAATGTTAAAAAATAAGTGATTGTACAAAATAAGGAAAATCAGGGCAGAAAGGGTTTGACAGAGCCATTGCGAAGGCTGGTGTTTGCGACGGTCCCACACTTGTGAGCTGTGGCTCCGGGCCTCCAGCACCAGTGGTCCCTGTCAGAGGAGCTCCCGTCACTGAAATGCCAGCGATAAACTATTACTGGGAACCGTATGTCATATGCTGACCATCCTGGGAAAGAACCAACCCACAGATGGAAAGTAATGAGAGAGGGACTGGCCTCCGCCTGGGAATGGGGCCAGGGACCCTCCACAGCAAAGCTGGCCCACGAGCGCTGACCCACCAGCCTGTGAATCCAGAGGAGAAGCACTCCAGGGGGCACTGGGCAGATGCAAAGTAATCCCGTAACCAAGAGAGTCAGGTGACAAGGGCCAAGTAAAGTCTGTGGCCTGTGCAAATGCCTACTGTGACTCTTCCCACACGGTGGCGGCGTTCCAAGTGCAGGGGTTCCTCACCTCGTGTTGGAGGAGGCTGGCAGAGGCAAGCTCTGGGACTGTTCCAGGGCCCGGTGCTGGCTGGCTTCTGCAGGAGGACACAAACACACCGCCCATGCAGGCCTGATGAACTTTAACCCTGTAACTTGAACCCCATTTACTTCTAAATGCTACAGTTTGATCTTGAATTGCTAAAAATTGTGAGATCGCTTTGAACTTATGTAAAAAGGGCCCTGGAGCAAAAGCTAGGAGAACAGGATAGCCAAAGGCAGCCTCACCTCGACAGGCCTGCAGCTGGCTGGTCAGCACTTTCCGGATCTCATTCACCCACGCTGCCTTAATCTCCGGGGTTGGCGCCTGTCCGCCCAAGAGAAATGCCAGGAGGTTAAGGACTCTCATTCCCTACAAACACATGCTTTGGCCTTTTACTCTGGAAACTTCCAAGGGCAATTTTATTTTTTATTTTTATTTTTTTTAAAAATTTATTTATTTATTTATCTTTAGAGGGGAAGGAGAGAGGGAGAGAAACATCAATGTATGGTTGCCTCTAGTGCGTCCCCTGCTGGGAACTGGCCTGCAACCCAGGCATGTGCCCTGACTGGGAATTGAACTGTGATCCTCTGGTTCGCAGACCTGTGCTTAATCCACTGAGCTACACCAGCCAGGGCTCAAGGGCAATTTTAGAAATAGGCAATGAGAGCACTGTAGGTGAGAACGGAGAAGGGAGGAAACCGCAGCACGTTCTCTTGCTTCGGGACCTCGCCCCACGGGCAAGGGCCTGATCCGACAGGGCCCAGGGCACCGCACCAGCAGCCAGCGGACAGAGAGCCAGCCTATACGCTTGCACAACCACTGAGGGCTGACTCAGTGGGAGGACCCTGCGGCACACACTGCTCCTTAAGAGTAACGTTCTCTGGGAAGTGGCCCTGATGCCATTTTAGGGGACAAGGATAGCCAGAGTCTGCCACCTCACAAGTGGATTCTAAACTTCCAGGGGGAGGGAGATTGCAAAGAGCGTGAACCCTGGCCAGGGCTTCATATTGCCTCAGTGCGGTGTGAGGCCTGAGGGGCAGTGCTGGGTGGGCAGCTGGGCTCTGCAGACCCTGGGCCTGGTTGGGCCTGAGGATATGAGCCACATCCTCACCTCAGCCCTTGGGGGCCCTTGGGCCTGGCTGTGCTGGTGTGTGTTGTGAGTTGTAGACCAGTAAGTGTGGTATGATACCGGGTTGCCACATAGCCCTGGGACCACACCATCCAGTGGGTCAGAAGTTTGAAGGCAGCTGGGAGAGGCACCTCCCCGTGCTGGCTGACCAGTCACAGGGCACCTGGGGTCTTGCATGGGCTCACAAATGTACTATGGCCTTACCCATCTCCCGCTCTCACCAGCAAGGTGAGGACAGGTAAGGACTCAGAACACATTTCCCGCCAGGAGGGCCTGGTCTTATGTGCAGGTGCGGCACAGGCTAGCTGTGTTCCCCCATGGCGTCCGGCACACCCACGCCGGGGCTGCAGGAGCCTGAGCTCATTTTTCTGGAAGGACACTTCTAGCACCCCTAACTTGCAGAGCTTCCCTGTAGTTTGCCCTGGGTTCAGCTCAGGTTTAAGATGGTCCAGGGCAGTGCCCCCAAAATGAGTAGTGGTGTTCCTGGCCTCTGGGCACTAAAACTTCATGGAAGATTCTAGACCCCGGGTCTCACTAGAAGCCTTTCAGTGGCAATCCTAAGAGACTCAGGAGTCCCCAGCGCCTGGTCAGAGAGAGAAAGATTGGGGTCCTACCTGAACGATGTACACTTCCTCCCTGGCATTGTACCAGATCTCGAACTTCTTCGCATCCCCTTTCACGTTCTCCGTTATGCCAACAGCTGTCATCTGAGAGCACACCGTGGGGGGCAGGTGTTAGTTTTGAGATGGGGGTTAGGGGTGCCAGAGATCCTGGACGCCCACAGCCAAAGATAAGGGGCATGTGCCAGAAGGCAGACGTCGTGACCAAGGCTCAGTTACGACGTGGGACGGGTCCCGATCCCTCTCTCTAGGATCCAGGACTGGCACCAGGAAGGTTCGAGGCTGCTGGGAGCAAGCCCTACTCACGTTCAAGGACTGCTTGTAGCTGTAGGACGGGGCTTTCTCGTACCCCTCCCCGTTCTCCTCCCGCTTCTTGCAGAAGAGCACGGCCTTCTCGTGCAGGAACAGATGTCGCTGCATGGGCTTGAACCTGGCCAGGTCCTTCACCTTGGTATGGCCCTTCTTGTGGTCCGTCCAGACACTGAAGGAGCCCTGCATCAGCAGCTTCCCCAAGTCACTCAGATTCCCCTAAAATGTGTCGCAACAGGAGGAGCATTTAAAACCCAGAATGAGTGTCGGGGCGTGCATTAGATGCATGTTGCCGAGTGAAGGGAGCTGTTTGGGAAAGCTGCATTCCAGGTTCCAACTATGTCACATTCAGAAAAAGGAAAAACTATGGAGACAGTAACAGATGAGTGGCTGCTAAGGGGTGGGGGGCATGGGGAGGGATGGAGAGGCAGCGCACGGGGATGCTTAGGGCAGGGAAGCCACTCTGTGAGATAACTCCCACGGCGGACACGCAGCATGAGACATTTCGTGCAAACCCACAGAATGCGCAAGCGCCGGGAATGGGCCCTGATGCGCACTGTGGACTCTAGGGGACAATGATGTGCTGGTGCTGGTTCATTAATTGTAACAAACGTCCCACTCTGGTGGGAATGCTAATAACGGGGGAGGCTGTGCCTGGGGGGGCAGGGAGTCTAGGGGAAATCTCTGCACCTTCCTTTAAATTTTGCTGTGGACCTAAAACTGCTGTAAAAATACTCTAACCTAGAATGTGAGTGCTGAAGAGACTTAGAGAAATGCAAACAAATTAATAATTGATCATTATTAATAATTGGCCTGATACAGGCACACAGAGGAGAAGGTAGAAAGCTGACTTTACTGCCCACTTGTTACATGTTGTCAGCTCACAAGCAGCATCAGAGAAAACGGATTTACACCCATTTCCCGAGACATGCCGACCTCAGGGAAAGACCAGGAATGAAGAGGTTTTCCGAGGTGCACCTCCAGGCGGAGGAAACTTCCTCATTTTCTTTACACGGTGCTGAGCCCCTGTGCAGACCTGCCCAGACCCCTCCGAGTCAGACCGGGTTTTGACCGATTCCTGGTGATTTGCATGCTTGTTAAAGCTCAAGGGCGCAGCTCTGCTCTGGCTCTGGGCCCATCTCAGCCTGCTGCCTGGCAGAACACCCCCCACCACCACCAAGCAGGCTCCTTAGCACCTCCAGCAGTGCGGGGAGAACGGCAGGAGCACCCTCAGCGGTCCTTACATCATAGCCTGTGATTGCGATGAGGTGCATGGAGTCATTTACGGCCTTGAGGATGCCCAGGATGGAGCTCAGTGCTTCCTGCAGGTCCTCTGCCCCCTCGCAGTTCTTGCTGTACTTCAACATTTCCTGGGAGGGGGGTGTGGGAAGAAGAAGCTGTGCTCACATCCTCATCCTGACACTGATCCCTACCATTCCCTTGAGAGCTGCTGGAACGCCAGTGCCTGCCCCGGCAGTGCAGGCCCCGGTGGCTCCCTGCTCAGTCATCACGGGCGAGGATAAGACCACACATGCATGTAGACACGCATACCCTCCCGGGATGTGGGGCCTGCCTGGGGACCACTGGCCTAGGAGCAGTTCAAGAAGTTGTCCCCCACCACCCTGAAGCCCCTGTACCCCACCCCACAACAGCTAGACAGATGCTGCAAGTTGGGGATGCTCCCTGAGCCAGTGGACACTCAGCTGAGCTTGGCAAGTGCAAGCCCCTCATACTCCCCCAGGGCCAGCACCCTTGTGCAGCTCTGACCCTTGCAAACTCAGACTGAATCCGATTGCTTGTCTCCCCACTTCTAAACTGGTACTCCTTCCTTTCAAATTCAACACCTGCGCGAACACCTGCTCATTGCACATGCACTCTCCATGTCTGTTAGCTCACTCCCTCCGGCCCGTGGCGCTGCCTGTGGTGGGCCCACAGAGATAGCCGACGTGGGCCAGGCCTGGCTGGGGAGGCCAGTGCGGGAGCACGGGCCAGTGTCGGGTGGGGGCCCTTTGAGCCTGTGCTCCATGGGGCGGGGTTTGTCCATCTGTTCACCTTGGTGTCCCTGCCTTTGCCCCAAAGATGGCCAGCACACAGTAGGCTGCCTCAAAGGTTTGGGAGAGCCCGGCCCTCGCAGAGATAGGAGGAAGGTGGCTCAGAGGCTTCCTGAGATAGGGGAGAATGTGGCAGTGAGGGTGGCCACAGTGTGGCCACGTCGGGACGGGGGTCTCCAGGGGATGCCCAGCCAGGCGTGGCTGCCCGGTGTCTCACCTTGAGGAGCAGCTGGTATTTGGTGATCCTCTGGACCGGCTTCAGCAGGTAGGAGTCCAGACTCAGCTTGTGGTCCAGTTTCTTCTGGCATTCCTGAAACCACCGAACCTCCGGTTTAGACAGTTTCCGTTATTCTTCATTTGAGAGTCAGTTAGTAGAGGAGATTATACTCTGGCGGGGGTGTCCAACCTGCGGCCCACCGGCCGCACGCAGCCCAGGATGGCTGTGAATGCGGTCCAACACAACATCGCGAATTTACTTAAAATGTTGTGAGATGTTTTTTGTGATTATGTGTCGCAATGTATTTAATGTGCGGCCCAAGACAACTCTTCTTCCAGCGAGGCCCAGAGACGCCCAAAGGTTGGACACCCCTGCTTCCCACACAGCCCAGAAACACACCTGGAAGAATGGGCAGTCGGAGCACTGCCGCCACAGGCTCTCCGAGCGGGGCTTGTTCTGGCAGTACTTCTCGTAGATCTGGAACTCTTCCATCTGGGCCCGGGGCAGAGACATGTCACGGCGTGGCTCGGGGGGCCGGCTCGGCCTCCTCCCGAATCCCCGCTCACCCCCCACCTCAGAAGCCACCTCCCTCGTCGTGGGACCCCCAGGTGACACCCCACCAGAAGTTCACGTCTCAGGGCTATCTCGCATGCAGATTGGCTCAATCTGTATAGCTGGCTTTTGCCATAGGTCTAACAGTGCAAAAATAAACATAGAACTAACACGGACAGGATCTCTAGAGTTTAGCCTACGAGGTGGTGCTCGAACTTGCAGGCACGTCAGAATTGCCTGCAGGCTTGTGCAGACAGGCTGCTGCCCTCACCGAGGTTCTGACTGGGCAGGTCTGAGGTGGGGCCTGAGAACCTGCATTCACAAGTTCCCCCAGAGACGGGGATCCAGGCTGCTGGCCAGGGGACCCACTCAGAGAACGACTGGCCTACAGCATGACTGCTCCACCCCAGTCCTCACACAGCACCAACAAGCATCACAGCCAGGCTGCGCCGAAACATCATCACGGCTCCTCCTTTTCCTGCCTTTGGCCTCCTCATATCAATTTATTACAGCACTCTTGCTTGTTTTGTGAAAGTGACTCAGTTTTATTGCTGTCGGTAAGCTTGGCTGCATTTTCCACACTGCCACCTCGCAGTTGACGGAGATCAACAGGAGAGGGTCACGTGGGACGCCACAGGCCCCAGTACCCGGCAGCCCTGCTGCTCCCAAAGCCTCTCCTCAGCCCCCTTCCCATCCACACACACACTTGGGTGGATTGTCCTGCCCCAGAAGGAGGCAGGCACCTACTATCTCAAAGAGTCGAGACAAATAAGGCTCAGAGAACAGGATGACTGGCCCAAAGTCAGCCAGTCCGTGAGGGCGTCTCGGTTAGAACAAGACCAAATGCAAAACAAAACGCCAGCCTGAGACACACTCAGCTTCATTGAACACAATCAGAGCCTTAGGCCTTTGATAATTTTGGCATGTCTCAGAGCTCGTGTGTTTTAGTTTTTCTCTTTTTCAGCGTAGTTACTGGGCTTTAGGAAAAAGCATACTCTTCCAGCCCTACCGAAGACTGTCAGGTCAACCTAGCCAAACTGGAAATGTTGGTAGCGTGTGACTTCAGCTGGGGACTGTAACAGAATCTAAAATTACTATTCTATGTGCTAGTAATTTTAGGAAGTAAGGCACAGGGAAGTACACATTAAAAAAACACCTACCCTTTCCAGAAAACACCTTCCCACCAGCTCTGGGCAGTCTATGTAGTTTTCTAGGTCCCTCAGGAATATCCTAGACAAGGAAAGCGTGCATTAGGTCGAACGATAAGCAACCTGAACAAGATGGGATCTGTAACAAATTAATAAGCTATCATTTTCCAAACGGCTCTAACCCCCAGCCCAGCAGCTCTGTGCGTAAGCACGCAGTCTGACTTCAGGAACCCGCAGCCCACCCCTGTCGCTCCCGGGGCTCTGGCTGCACCACAGGTTTAAGCAGCCATGGCCCCCACGGATCCCTATATGCTTCCGGTGTTGGTGTCCGCACAGAATTCAGGACTTTTTTTTTTTTTTTAAGAATCAGCGCAGATGTGGGATGAAGAGGCCATGAGCAGACAGGCAGAGCATCTGGAGGTTCTGGAAGTGCACCTCACAGTTGAGTGCTCTGTCGGGTTTCTGCGGCTGTAATGGGGGCCCCGTTCTCTCCCCGAGACCTTCCCCAGTGCAGCTTCATTCCCGAGCCACGTGCCGAGTCGTCCTCCATTTCTGACTGACATCTGTCCATGGGGGTAAATTTCCCAGGGAGGGAAGCTCACTCCACTGGTCCTGCAGCCGGGGTCCCGGTGCCCAAGCACTGGCCAGAGCCCTCGGGGATGCAGAAGGTCCAGGGCGTTCTCTCAATTTAACTCCCAAAGGAAGGCTCTGAGGCAGGGGTCAGCTGTGACCTGGTACCACCCTTGTCAATGGCGGGTGAGAGATGCTAATGACTGAGGGGCAAAGTGTCCCCTGACACCCATAGGAGGTGGGGCCCGAGTCCCATGCGGGCTGGGCTCCCCGAGTCGGCTCATAGCTGGCCCTTTTTCAAGAAACACAGACATGGCCATCATCTTCCTGCCTCCCTACCCACCTATGTCTGCTGGCTCATTTCCTTTCCCATGAGCTCCTGCAAACTGCAAGTAGGAACCCGGGGAAAGCAGCACTACCAGGACTAGCCACACTCTCCCCAGAGCACGGGGACGCCACAAACTGCTGTCCCAGGGTATTACGGGCAGGAAAGGAACATCTGATGTCATCACCCTCTTCAAGAACGGGCTTGGGAACAAACCCATCTTTGCTAAGTGGCACGGCCTCTGGTGCTGCCCCAGCACGCCCACACTTGGGGTGGGGGCTGGCTTCTGCTGGTCCTGAAGGGCAGGGAGAGGCAGGAGGGGCGGGCTGCTCCTACATCTTCATGCTGACGAAGCTCTGAGGCATCTTCCCACGGGCGGAGGCCCATTTCTAACCAACTACCCCGGCTCAGAGAACGAGCCCTGGGCACTTCCCATCAAACCGCTCTAGGTTGGTGGCCCCTCTGTGAGCTTATCCCATCTTGAGAGAGGGAGGGAGGGACATCCCCCACCAGGAATGCACAGTCCAGGGCTGTTTCGGTTGCAGATCCCTGCAGGAGGCCACTTGAAAGGCTGGACAGTGCTGTGGTCAGAGGAAGGGTCTCTCTCACCTGTTATGAAAGTGGTAAATTTCTTCCATGTTTCCAAATAAAACATCCTTCTTGTTTTGAAGGCCTGCTGTGAGGAGGTGCGTCATCAGAGGATTGTCCATCTCAGCAGCGTAGCCCTGTGGAAGGGGAGAGGGGTCAGCCGGGAAATCCTGAGGTGTAGCTCTTGGCCATTTTAACAGCAGCCCAGTCGTCCACCACCAAAGCCCCGTCTCTGAGTGGCTGCCCAGCGGGGCTAGTGGGGCGGGTGACGCCGTCTCAGGTGTTAGAAAGCAAATCCACCTCGTATTTAGTCACTGACCATTTTTAAGATGGTCATCTGGACAAGCACCACACAATATGAATGAATTACAAACCGTGCCAGTTTTGGGGGGCGTGGGGAGAGACGGTTCTATTCTTCTTCCTTTTAGCCTTTTCAAAATCGAGATATTTCTATGAATGGGACAAATCTTATGCGTACATCTTCATGACTTATTTATGTCTACACCCCTGTAACCACTGCCCAGATCAAGATGTAGAACATTCTAGCACTCGGAAGCCACTCTGCCTGCCCCAGGCCACCACCGCCACCAGCAGGCTCCTCCCGGCCCTCTGCACCCAGACCGGCTCCGTACGCCCTGGGCTTCCTCTGCAGGAATGACACGCACGTTGGTTGGAGTCTCCACTCGGCACGGCGCTCCTGAGGGCTGTGCTTGGTCTGGGCAGCGGCTCCTTTTCTTGCTATAAATATTGTCTCTGTGCAAATCCACCTGAGCCTACTTGCCCCATGTCCCATTGACAGACATTTGTGTTGCTCCCACTTTGGGGCTGTTATGAGTAAAGCTGCCGTGAGCCTTCTTTCACATGCTTGGTGCCAGACACGAGACCACCCGGGGGAACCCCAGCCCACGGCACACGCCCGGCCGCCCGCCAAGGGCAGGCTCACCTCCAGGACGCAGAGCAGCTCCTCCACGTAGACCCGCTCCGTGTCAAGGAGTTCGTTCATCACGTGCCTGTGAACGGGTACCAGGACTTATCAATCCAGGAGCAGCTTCCCTGGCCCACCTCCCTGCGGTGGGGCCAGCTGCACAGAACGAGCCCTGCCACTCGAGCCTCCTCCTATTTCAGGTCACCTCTCTGGCCTCCTTGCTGCTGTAGATTCATCCCCACTTCCTTCACCAGCCACCCCTTCTCTACCCCAGGAAGAGCCCCTCCTGTGCCTGTACACCAGGCTCCTTGCCTGGGGGCCGTCAAAGCATCATTGTAGCCAGTTCAGTTTACACCTTCTTGCACATAGTGGGGTACAGTGATGATGTGTAGAACTATATGCTCATCAAGTTATGGAGTCCCAAGAGAGGCAGGGGCTAGCAAACCAGCTGCTCAGATGTCTTTTTAGGGATGAAGACCACCTTCTAATTGCTTACAACCAAACATCCCATTTTCATACATAGGGACTAGAGCCTGGAGTAGGGGCGGGGGTGCTCTCGGGTTGGGAATATCGAGCACGATCCATTCTGAAACAGTCGTCATCACCTAACAAGGCACTAGGCCTCAGTTCAAAGAGGCAGTGATTCTAAACGGGGAGGTGAGGGGAGAGGGAAGATGGGGCCTCAGGCTTCTTTCTCACCATCGCAAGCTGGAGGGGAGCACTGTAGCCTGGGAGCATGGAGCTCAGCGTGAGAACGAAGGGGAGATGTCCCTGGTGGAGAACTGAACTGGACGCTGAGGTCCAGGCATTGTGTTTGGGACGGGGCGGGGACAGCATTCTGTGTACTGATCTCAGAGCCCGTGGACCCAGGAAGGCGGCGGGGTGCAGGCTGCCTTTGTGGAAGGGTGGACGGCCTAGCTAGGCTGGAAGGAAGGGTTTGAGGAAGAAAGTGCCTGCCAGTCCCGGGAAGGACTTTGGAAGTGTCTTCCCTGTCAAGAGTTCAGAACTCATCAGAGCTCTGTGCCCAGGACAGATGCAACCCCAGGGTGGGATGTGCAAGACCTCCAGGGAGTGCGTGGCAACAGCCCAGGTGTGCAGTGAGAACAGCTGGGGGGGGGTGGGCGTCCCTGGCTGGTGTGGCTCAGTGGACTGGTTGCAGGTCTGTGAACCAACAGGTTGCCAGTTCAATTCCCAGTCAAGGCACATTCCTGGGCTGTGGGCCGGGCCCCCAGTAGGGGGCGCGTGAGAGGCAACCACACATTAATGTTTCTCTCCCTTTCTCCGTCCCTTCCCTTCTCTCTAAAAATAAACAAATAAAATCTTAAAAGAAGAAAAAGAGCTGGGGGTAAAAAATGGTGAAAAAAGCAGGAGGGGAGGAATGAAGAAAGAGACGTGATCCCCAGCACATGGAGCTGGGAGGGCCTGGAAAGGCCCCTGGGAGGGACCAAGTTCTCCAGGGAGACAGACAGCTGGGTCGGGGGCAGTCACGTGGCTGACCCCTGCACGTGACCCAAGGGCCTGGGCAGGCTGGATCATGCCTGCCTTCTCACCTGGCCTTGAAGGAAAAACAACCCTTTTCATATCATCACAGTCCTGCCCGGGGGCCCAGGGGCACACGTGACTTTTCTAAGGGAAACCCAAATTCCTCTCGGTTTCGGATGCAGACCTGTGCAACAGACACATGCCCTCCATGCCTGCACACTGCCCACTGCACACATGTGTGTGGACCCCACGCCGCCAGCTGTGCTCCCACATCGTGGCTTTGGGGGAGAGTCTGGCATTTTTCTCCAACGCTGGCTCATTTGTATTCGACTGTCCTGGACAAAGGCTGAGACCGGGTGGGTCCCACTCAGCGGCGCCTGGAAGGGCAGCCCACCCACCTCCTCAGGATGGCCAGGCTCTCCTCCTCTTCCCCCGTGGAGCTGCTCCGGCCCTGCCGGCCCTCACTCATTTCGCTCTGGAGAGAGAAGAGCGCATAGCGCATCAAGATTCCAAAAGCGAGAAGACGCAGCCGGACGTCCTGACCAAGGCCGTGGAGTCCAAGCTCACTTTCCATCTGGGAGCGGGTGGGAAATCTGAGACCTCGCAGGACGGGGAGGGGAGGATGGCCCTGGTGCGCGGGCCTGTGGGTGGGAGAGGGCTGGGAGAACCAGGCTGGGTGCCCCCCAAGGATGGTGAGGCGCCAGGAGGTGGCGGGGCTCGGGGCAGTGCAGGCTCCGTGCCAGGGACATGGGGCCTCACCTTGGCCCTCCTGTAGGGCCCCCTCCGGAGTGCGCTGGCCTCAGAACTGTTGTTCTCTGAACCTCTCCGGACTCCTGGTTTGGGAGGAAGAGGAGAGAGGTGGGTACAACTTTGTATCTTATTGCCCGGAGAGGAAAAACACACCAGGAGTGCCTGGGATTTATTTCTTTACTTTCGGAGGTGAGGAAAGCGCAGCAAAACCGAAGAGAAGGAAAATGGGAGACAGTTGGAGGAGGGGACACCGGGGAACCACCCGGGGTCAGCCCACTGGCGTTAGTTCCCATCCCTGGAGGGGCTCCCCGCCTACAGGGGAGGAGCTCCTCCGCCAGGAGGCCTCTCCGCACTGGGGGCTGGGAGCCAGCTCTCCAGGGCTCTCACCAACTTCAAACATTCACCAAGTCCCCCCCACCCCCACCCCAGGAAAGCAGTAGGAGGTCTCAGCTACTGGGGAAGAGTGTGTTTGGGGACAGGGAAGTGGTGGGAAGGAGTCTTCAGGAAATGGCACTGCGTCCAGCTGGGCCCTGGAGAGGGGTGTGCTGGGGAGAGAGGCGACGAGGGGCCATGGCCCACTGGTTGTGGTGTCTCGGGGCAGCCGAAGTGGCTGAGGCGTCTGACACCATGCAGGGAGGCTCTGGGGCTGAGGCTGGAGCCGTGTGCGGGGAAAACTATTTTGGCAACAGCACTGAGAGCAGATGGACTGGGGAGAGACTGGTGTGGAGAAGAGGCCCAGGAGGGTCCTGCGACAGTGGGTGTTTCAGTTCTTCGCTGCAACCAATCGGCTCTGCTGTGCTGAGCACAGAAGCAGCAGAGAAGAGAATAAACAAGTAAGTGAGCCAAGTGCCAATAATTTACCAATTTAACCATGGATTGTACATAATTGTCAGTAATTATTTACAAAATAAATCATGGAACAGGAGGCGGGCACTCCCTGAGGAAGGAGCTGTGCCTGCACGTACCTGGGGAGGGGCAGGGCGACTTGGTGAGCGCCTCCGGCCGGGGGGCCACTGGCTGCACAGGCCTGGTCTGCTTGGCCGCCAGCTTCTTCAGGCTGGCCTGTCTCCGGTGAAACATTTCTTCCATGCTCTCTTGCTTCTGGAAGACCTTCTGCACGTGTTCCTGAAGTGACGAGGTGTGACAGACTAGTTAGCAAGACGCTTTGTAAGTGTTGGTGTCCGCAGTTAAAAAACAGAATGACCACGTGCAGACCTGCCCTCAGCATGACCGCCCTGCTAGATGCTGATGACGCAGCGCCTGTCACCAGCGCGGCAGTCCTGCACTGGCACTGCCCGCTGTGGCTGCGGAGGGGTGGTGGCCCCTGACGGAGGGAAGGGTGCCAGGCCTAGGGGAAGGTCGGCTGGAAGAGGGGGACACGCAGCTCTCTCCATGCATCTGAAGGCTGCCTGTGGAAGGGGCAGTGAACGTGTGGGTGGCCCTGGGGGTGGGCTGAGTGCAGCTGGCGGAGATGGAAGAGGAGTCCTATCTCGGCACAATACTGAGAGGGGCAACAGGAAGCAGGCCCGGGGGAATGGCTGCTTCATCAAACACACGCCCCTTGCAGGGGAAGGACCTGCACCTTTTGAGAGACGCATGACCATGACTTCTGTGTAAGCAAAGTTGAGCCAGATGACCCCTCCCTCCAACTCTGTATCTCTCTCAGTTGCTGACTGTCCTCTAAGAATTCATTAAATGATTCTTTTCGACATCATCAGGGTGACTCCCCACCATTCAGGACAGGTGAGCTACAGGAGAAAGGCCCAAGTTGGCGTACCAGCAGGTCCTGGGTGAGGATGGGTTCGTAGTCCTGGTAAATTTTATTGAGCTCCTGGATCTTATTTTCTGCACCGGTCTCCAAAAACTTCTCAATTTCTTGGAGGGCTGCCTCAGCCCCATCTTGGGACTGGCACTTGTCCACAGGCTGCGAGGCCAGCAGGTAAATCCCCTCATCGCACCATTTCATGGACTGGACAGGTGAAGCGTGGCAGAGGGAGAGAATGGCACTGTTAGCAGCGTGTGCGGGCTGTCTGCGCTGGGGCCTGCTGGCTGTCTGCCAACCGCTATATCCGGGAGAATATTTTCAGCCCTGCATCATCCTCGTTCTGCTGCTGTGTCCAGAGGACTCCCCGGAGGGAATGCAGCACAGCGCCCCAGGAAAGGACCCATTCACACATACAGGGAGGTAATGCAGTGAGGCAGGAAGGTGGTAAGTTTCCGGGCCTTTAAAAGAAATTGTTAGCTGTTGCTAGTGAATTCTAGAAAACAGCTGTGTCAGGACAGGACCAACTGGGCCACTGGAAAGTCGTCCAGACAGGAGGGCGTGGGCCAGCTTCTAACCAATGACTGGTGCCTCCCACACAGAGGGAGCTGGCCCCGTGGGGCCGAGAGTGATTTGGCCATCGGCGGGGGTGGGGGCCTACCGCTTCCAGGAGGCTGTGCAGCTCCAGTGACTTGTTGAGTAGACCCCTCCGCTGCCCGACCTCGGTGGTGAACTGGTCGCAGAGGTGCCGGAGCTCGTGGCACTTGGGGCGGATGGAGTCCACGGCGTAGTGCTTGTTGTCGATGAGCTGCTCCCCCTCCAGGGACAGGGCGCGGGCCCGCTCCACGGCCGCCTGCAGAGAGCCGCCCCAGACACACAGTGTGGCTTAGGTTAAGTACAAGCAAGAGGGCGCTATTTCCTTTGAGGGATCTGTGAGGGGAGGGTGGGGGGAGGGTGTGGGAGCAGGGTCAGGGGTGGGCCTGCGGGCAGCTGCCCCGCCGCCTGCAGACATCCCTTGGGGTTGGGGGCTTCCACTCTGACAGTAGAAAGCCCAATTCCTGTGCCCTTTTAAGCAACTTGGGTGACAACCCTGGGTACCTCTTCACTAGGCTGCCTCCCGCCCACACCAGTCCGTGTCCCAGTCCTTACGCTGGACTTCTCCTCGAAGCTGGTAAGGTCCTTCAGGAGGTGCTCCGCATGCGCCAAGCTGTTGCCCACATCCGTGAAGGTCGCTACCTTCTGAGCCAACACATCTAAGGAGGCCTTGACCTGAAACAGAGAAGCAGGTGAGAAACTCAGGCCCACATCAAAACAGCCACAGGTGAAAGGAGAGGGCACGGAGACATGACCAAAACCAGGAATGAGGGAGGAGAGGGAAATTGGGATCTCCCCCTGGAGACACAGAGCGGGAGGGAAAACCCCCAATCTGATAAAGAGCATCTGAGAAAACCCTGCAGGCAGCATCGCCTACGTAATGTTGGCCCTAAGACCAGAAACAGGGCAAGGACACCCACTCCCACAGCTGTCGCGCCGGGGCTGGCAGCTCAGGCCAGCTCAGTGAGGCAAGAAAAAGTTAAAAATGTAAACGAGCAAACAAAAGGCATGCAGATGGGGAAGGGAGAAGTCACGCTGTTCCTGTCTGCGCGTGACCTGATCATCTGTGTGGAAAATCCCAAAGGGGACAAAGGAACTCCTAGAAGAAGTGTGCTCAGCACGCTTTCAGAAGACGAGATAAATACGCAGAAACCAACTGTATTGCTACATACAGCAATAAATGCACCGACACCACAACCAAAAAACACGACACCACGTATAACTGCTTTTTTACAAGTAAAACATGTAAGTGTGAATCAGAGAAAACATGTACTGAACAGGTACACAACATCGATAAACATGTCTAAGAAAAGCTAAATAAGCGATGAGACATATCGTGTTCACTGACTGAAAGATTCTACATAGGGAAGATGTTGATTCTCCCTCAAATAGAGGTTTAACACAATTGCTATCAAAATTCTAGCACATTTTTTGTAGATGAAGACAACATTACTTTAAATTTACATGGGAAGGCAAAGGGACTAGACTAGCTAAAACAATTTTGAAAAAGAAGAATCTAATGGGAAGAGTCATCCACCTGGTTTCTAGGCCTATAATAGCTACAGTCAAGGCCATGTGTTGACAGAGGGACAGACTGCAAACCCAGAAATGACCCAAACAAATGCACCCAATGACCTTGGACAAAAGTGGAGAGCAGTCGGGTGGGGAAAGATGAGTGCTGGGGGCGGGGGCGGCTGGGCGTTCCGGGATCCAGAAAGTGAGCCTTGACCTAATTCTCACGCCTTGCACCAAAAGTGCCTTGAAGTGTAAAAACTGAAATCTTTTAGGAAAGGGAGTTTAGGGGAACATCTCCAGGATCTCGGGACTGACACCGAAAGTACAGTCCTTCAAAGGAAAAGTGTAAACTGGACTTCATCCACACTGTACACTCTACTCTCTGAAATACCCGGTTAAGAGGGTACAAAGACAGGTGACGAGCTGGAAGAAAACAGTTTCAAAACACATGTCTGCCAAGGGACTAATATCTAAAGTACATAAAAAGCTCTCAAAACACAATAGTAAAAACAAAACTGGAAACAGTCCAATCAGAAAATGGGAAGTAGAAATACAGACATTTCACTGAAGAGCACACACTGATGATAAAGAAGCACTTGGAAGGATGGTCAAGGTCATCAGCCACTAGGAAAATGCAAAACAGAACCACAATGAAACATCACTGCACACCTATCAGAATATGTGTAGAAGATTTAAAATAACACCACGCCAAGTGCTGGTGAGGATGTGGAGAAGTGGGATCCCTCACCCACGGCTGCTAGGCATGTAAAATGGTGCAGCCACGTGAAAACAGCCTGGCTTTTTTTAAAAAGCTAGACATGAAACTACCACACGACCCAGCAATTACACTTCTGAGCCCAAACAGATGCGCATGTATCTCAGAGACACGACAACTCACATCCATGCAAAGATCTGCACACGAATGTTTCTAACAGCTATTCGTAACAGCAAACCCTGGAAACAGCCGGGAGCTTTCCGTGGGTGAATGATTCACCTGTGGCCAGTCCACACCATGGATACCTACTACTCCACAGTGAAAAGGAACAAAGTGTTGGCACACAGAACCTCCTGGATGAATCTCCAGGGAATCATGCTCAGTGAAAAGAGCCAATCCTGAAAGGTCACGTATTGTGTGATCCCATCTACAGCACATTTTTGAAATGACATTACGGGAGTGGAGATCGGTGGCGGCCGGGCGTTCAGCAGAGGGTAGAAGTGGGAGGGAAGTGGGTACGTGGGAGGGAAAGGGAAATGTGGGGGTCCCTATCGTGACGGAATGTTCCGTGTGTTGAGTGTGCCAGGCACAGCACCCTGGTGGTGATCCTGTGCTTTAGTTTGGGGAACATGTCACCATTTGGGGAAACTGAGTGTAGGATACACGGATGTCTCCATATTACTTCTTACAACAGCGCTTGAACCTACAATTACCCACAGATACAAAGCCTGGCTGTCTTAGGTGCCTTCTTCAGTCCCCACAGAAATAAGTAATGAATGACCGTCTTCGTCAGGTGCTTGCTTGCCTGCTGTTCCCACTGGCTGCTGTGGCCGCTCTGGCCTGAGTCAGGAAGGCTGCTTCAGCTCACCGGCCCGAGCTCGGGCCCCAGGTCAGCAGCGCTCAGTGAAGGCTGCTGAACGAGGTCCACGTTTCCAAAGGAGAGATTCATGACTCTGGGAGGAGGGCGAGAACTGGAGGACAGCCCCACAGCACAGTTCAGCGGTCCTCCTCACCCGGCACCTTGACATGGCCCCACACCAGTTTTTTTTTTTTCACAGAACCTGATGTGGTTGCTTATTTCCTGTGGATGTATGATTCTTCCTTCTTGACCAGAGGTTCCTGAGCGCAGGGAAGACGCCGCCCTGGGTCTGTGTTGCTCCGGACGGTGCAACGTTTTACATTCCTACATTGTACCACGGCCAGACCATAGGGAAGCGTCAGTGCACGCATTCCGCACGAGAAATGATTAACAGGCTTCTGAAGAGCTGGCCCCCTCTACCTATCTAACACAATGATGGCGCATCACTTCTACGGCCCCAAGACAGGACAGGGCTGTATCTCTGATTTGAGTGGACCCAGGGCCCATGCGGGCACACAGTAGGTACATGTCAGAGAAAAGAGCACACAAATGACGCTGAAGGGAGAACAAAGACTGCTCCACTAATTGACTAATAACGTGGAAGCACATGCCAATGAGCAGATTTTACATAATCTTTGCATGTAATGGTTTACTCACCAATCACATATTTTAAGGTTAAGTCCAACTTGATCTTGTGGCTTGCTGTGGCTAATGGAGACTATTTCGCACTGAGCCACAGTCAACTGGATGACTCAGCTCCAGGCACCCAGGCGATGCAGCCCAGCCACTGGCTCCCCGCAGTCAGACGCCAGGTGCCCACCTGCAGGTGCGCTCCATGCTCTGGGCCACTCACCTCTCGGAAATCCTGCTCGAAATGCCGGAGCTGCAGACACTGTTCAAGTTTTTGCTGATGCTTTGCCCAAAACTCATCAAAGGCAGCCTCGGTTTCATTCAGCTGGGCCAGGAGCCTAGGAGAAAGGAGAAGCACCTGTGCTGTGTGTTGGAGTGACCCGTGGGGCCTCGGGAAGGACCGCCCCTGGGATGTGAAGCAGGGTGGGGGGGCTCAGCCTCCAAGCAGCCTTTCTAAGACTCTTGCCTCCTCTTATCCTGGAAACTGAAGCCCAGGATTCGCAGGTAGGGGTTTCTTTGGGGCCCGCTGACCTGAAAGGGAGGGTGGCCGGCTGAGTCTGCTAAGTGTTACAAGGTTGAGGTGGTAAAGGTTTGGGGTTACTATTTAGAACTTTGTTCAGGGGTAGAGGACGCAGTGAGCTGCTGCCACAAGGCACGTGTGGGTGAAGAACGGCGGCCACCACTTACTGTTGTCATTCCCATGGGCTCCAAACACCAGGCTGGACAAGTGTGAACACTCTGGTCCCACACCCGCCGTGTCCGGTGTGCTCAGGCTAGCTCCACTGAATACATGAGGAAACGGAGTCTGGGGGGGTCGACAGTGTGCTCCAACCTCCCCCGTTAGTGACATCCCATCCACACAGGCCTGTCCAGTGCCCCAGGGCCAACTCTGCGCCCCTGGCCCAGAACACCTGCTCGGCGTGTGAACTTCAGACACGAGTCAGGAACAAGGGCTAAAAGTCCAGGGCCCAGGCCTGGGTTTGTCTGTGAGGGGCTGGGAGCCTGGAGGCAGGCTGTGCAGCTGCTCCGCGCCTGTCCCCCACCTGTCCCTGAACGAGGGGTCTCAGCGCCGACCTGGCATGTGTGGTGAAGAGCATGGAATCGGGAGGAAGTGTGTGGAGGTCACAGAGCGTCACAAGGTGTTAGCTAACAGCAGTTAGCCCTGTGTTCTGTCATTTAGCTAGAAACCAAGGAAGAGAAGTACACACGATTCCCTTTCCAGGGAAAGAAAAGATGGGCTTCTAAAACCTGGGGCTGGAGCAAAGAAAGGCCTCAAGCGGCTCCCTTACCTGCAAACACGTGGAGACCAGGTGTAAAACGGGGCAGGAAAGCATCGAGTGCAGAGCTGCAAGCCTGCCAGCTCCTGTCACCCCTGTTCTCCCTTAAACGGCCCTTCATGCTTATGAAAAAGAGTGATTAAGGCCTCTCCCAGGGAAGCTGCTTTCTCTGGCATCTGGGAGTAAAGCATTTCAGCAGTAGGGACTCCGAGGTCCTCTTGCTTCCCTTTGAGGTGAGGAAACGAGGCTCAGAGAGGCAACAAGGCACATGGGCGGGGCCTCCTGCTCCTGTGTGTGTGCTCCTCTGCCCTTAGCCTCTCGTTTCCACAGAGGCTGGTCACCTGACAGGCCCCTGCAGCCCGAGGTCCTCACCTCTGCACCGTGGTCTGATTGTCTAGCTGGTCCTGGTTCAGACTCTGCTCCGGGCTCTTGGCCAGAGGCTCCCTGATGCGCTCCAGGATGTTCTGCCCCTCGTCCAGCGCCAACCTCATGTCTTCCTGTGGGAATAGTACAGCATCTCGCACGCCAAGCCCACCCATTCCCCAGGACTCCGTCCAGGTTGGAGGGAATGGTGGGCTTTGTGGGGCGTCCCCCTGCGAGGGGAGCGGGGGGGGGGTCACAATGAGTGAGGTGGGCACAGCACCAGCCACAGTGGAGTCCTCCTCCCCCTGTGCTGACTGCTCGCTCACTGGGAAAAGCAGGAAGGTGTTGGGGAGACTCCTCCCACTGCGACCAGGGCAGAGCTAGGGTTACAGGTCATGCAGGGGCAGCAGGATAAGGTAGGAGAGTAACAGGACACCAGACTTCTAGGTGCCTGCTTCTGCAACCATCCTCACTGCCAGGAGTGAAAGGGAGTGAGGGGTTCTCTGGGTGTGGGTGGGGGCGGTCCCCGAGGACCACGTGTGGGTCAGGGTCACTGCTGACTCTAAGCCTGCGATGTGCGGGTGGGGCAGGGGGTGCAACAGGCTTGGGGAGCACATCTCCCTCAGAACACAGTTATCGGGGGAGTGATGGTAAGGACACGAGTACGGTGACTTACTACCAGGCAACAGAGACACCCAGAGGAAGGGCGCTGCTGTAAGACGGCTCGGGAGCTGGTTCAGAGAGAAGCCGCCTCTGAGAACCTGCTTCGGTCAGATTTCACAAGCCACGCAAGCCAACCACACAAGTGTCTGTGTTAATAGCGTTTGTTTATGCTGCCTTTAAAAAGGCACGTGTTTCAGGTCTCATCCCAGAGGTGACCTGGAGCATTAGCACCCAAAGGCGCCTTTGAAACCCCCTCGATTCTGTCTTACCTCATGCTGACATTAGCTCTTTCTGCTCCATTACCTCACACTCAGACATAAGACCCTCCCTGCCCCCACAGAGGCTGCACATACCTTTGCTTTGACTTTCTTCTCCGTGTGTGCACAGAGCACTGAGCTCGTAGACTGGACGTCATTGGGCAGTTCCGTTTCGGCCAGCTCGGTCCCGAAGGACTGCAGCATCTGGGCCGTCTGCTTAACCATGAGGGCGAAACTTTCGATGGCCTTGGGAAGAGGGAAAACACCGTCACAACGTTTGCGCACGCCACGCCCTCCTGCTGCCGGAAAAGCATCAGCAAGGATCAGACGGGCATCCCCAGAGGGGACGGAGCCACAGCAAGCCTGGTCTGCCGAAAGTAAATACCTTCCCACTGGTTTCCTAGCCTCACGACCTCCTCAGACACATACCGGACACTCTTCACATACGCTTTCATCACCTAGAGTCATTCTAAGCTCCAGGTCTCTCTCCTTGTTGAGAGACGTGTGAGTGCTGCAAACTATAACAGCATGGGCTTTTCCTTTCTTTCTTTTCTGTCTGTTGGCCCAGAGCAAGCCACTCCCGAACTTATTACTCATGTTATTTCTTTGGATGACTAAGGTCCACTGAGACCATCGCTGTTCTGGAGAAAACTTGGGTTAACATGAACACATCTTTGGAAAAGGCAGCCTCAAAATGCAGAAGCAATTCTAGGGAATTAACTAGAGGTTACTGAGAACCACAGCCCAAAGCCAGCACCCACCAGAGTGCCAGAAAGACTCACCGTGCGGTGACACAACCACCTGGTGTGGCAGTAGTCCAGGGTCCCACCCAGGTCCTCGGTCAGCTGGGACTTGTCGATGTAACCGTGTAACTCTGGTACTGAGCTCAGCATTATGACCTAGGGGAGAAAGAAAGCTGTCCCCATAAGGCAGAATGCCCAGCATGCAGAGTCAGGAAATGTTCTCCTGCTGGTTCTCCTGCTAAGCGTGGCAGGGTGGACAGAAATCCCTGGCTTGTCACCTGGGTTTAAACCCAGCTCTGCCGCTAACTGGCTGGTTGACTTTGGGCAAGTCACTTATTCTTTCTGTCTCAGCTTCCTCATTCATGGGCATGTGATGGCTGATCTTGTCAGGTGACAGCCATCCGAGGATGCAACGCCCTTGGCATAGCTGGGCTTGCAGTGGACAGCAGGCATCAGATAAGCGTTTAGATGCCCCTCCGGCCAGGCGAGCTCGGCAAGGCAATCGGACAGTGATCAGACTGGAAAGAAGACGATTTTGTCTTTACTCCCGCTGAACTCCCGTGAGGTCATCGCAGGGATGAGTCAGGGTCAGCACGGCGTGATAACCCGCGTGCGGTTACAGTGGCCAGGCAAGCTCTTCCACACAGGACAAGTTTTATATTTTTATACTTTTCCTGCCCTGTCCGAGGTTGCCCTGTCCATGAGTTTCAGATAAAAATAGCCTTTCTCTGTACGCTGTCCCACAGATACTACAAAATAGGTCTTGAGAGGCTCAACTTGACTGTTATGTGAAACCACCTCATGTTTTATTAAATACTGTATTGGTTTAAGGCAGGGGTTCCCCCCCAGGGAGATTCGGTCCCTCAGAGGACATTTGATGAAGTCTGGGGGCAGTTCTGATTGCCACAGTGTTGAGGGTGGGGTGGGACTAGGATTGGGGGGGAGGGGTGCTGCTAAAATGGCACGCAGGACAGCCTCGCCACAGAGAACGGTCCTGCCCAAACTGTCCCCAGGGCCAACCCTGAGGTCTCCTGATTGGAGCATAATCTTCATTTAAAAAACAGGCCAAAATGTCATTTTAAGGTAGAAAACTGTTCTTAGCAGACATGACTCCATTTTCTCTTTGTTCTTCTCATGAAACTATATGCAGCTCAATAACCCCAATTTGCAAGCAGCGTGACCAAGGACTAGTCGACTGGGCAATCTAAGAGTGTAAGCTGCCTTCCTTTATGATTTCTGTGTCTCAGTGACAACCTGTCTATGCTCCGTATACATTTAACCACGACCGGGAGGGCACAGGGACCCGCTGTTCCTCTTACTGCTTCCTCCTGAGCCCTGAGTGCCACACACAGCGCTGAAACACGGGCCTGAGCGCACTTGTAACAACGGCATCCCAGTGATGCATTCTGTGATGCTAAAGAAAGACCTAAAATGGGCCAGTGAATTGAAGATGCCGAAGACGATAGTTGTGAAAACCGTTCTTGACAACTCACTAATTTGGCTAATACCACGCAGCACCCCTTTCCCAAAGCTGCCCTGCACGAGCCGGAGTCAGAGGAGGTACTGCTCTCTTTGCCAGGCCCAGGCCAGCCACCCCCATCGGCTGCTTGGGGCTCCCTCTACAGGCCTTGGGGATGCTCACACCCACTTCCCTGGCCCCTGGCCCTTCCTCGCTAGGAGGCTGGCAATGGCACTCAGCACGTTGGGCTCTCTTATTCTTCTGCTTGACTTGCTGTAAGAATGTTCTAGATTTGTGGCTCTGATGAATGCCTGTATTTTTACGTGGTCCATCTGAGGCCATGCTTTGCACAGTCAACCAGGGGTGGGGCATGGCGGGTGGGAAAGAAGGACTGTATAGCTCCGGACTGCATAAGATGAAATACAATACAATTTCCTGCTGAGTCATTTGGGGCTTTATTTTTCCTCACATCACTGAGGTAGGCACCATGAGGATTTCGATGATCACAGATGGGCCAAGAATGCAATTAAGTTTAGTTCTGCCTATGAAATGAAAGCAGTGTATACTTACCGGTACCTTCATCTTAAAGTCATCTCTATTGAATTTGAAAGCAAGGTCAGAGAGAGTCCTTTGGAAAAATCCTGTTGGGCGCAGAACAAGGACGAGCTGGAGGTTCGCTGGGAAGGAGGCCTGCAAGAGAACGGAGGGACCGTGCATTGTCGGCGGACGGCTGGAGCCGAGCTCAGGGTCCCCACGCACCTGCAGCTGACTGCACAGGCTGGGCGGGCAAGACCCAGCTCAGGGGCCCAGGTGTTTCCAAGACATCAATGTCACGCTAAGATACAGAGACACTAACTTTATCAAAGTCATCGCTGTTTCTAAAAATAAAAGGGAAAAAGTCACACTGCTTGGTGCCGCTGTTATACTACTTTTAAACAAAAAGGTCTAAAGCTTATGACACTTGTTACAGACTGAATGGCATCCTCTGAAGTTCAGATGTTGAAGTGCGAATTACTGGTGCCTCAGATTGTGACCTGACTTGGAGAGAGGAACTTTAGAGGCAAACAGGCTAAAGTAAGGTGTGGGGGTGGTCCTCTAACCCCGTGACCCGTGCCCTTATAAAAAGGGGACGTTTGGACACAAACACACACACACAGAGGGCCACGTGAGGATGAAGGCACAGATGGGTGATGTGTCTACAAGCCAAGGGTCACCACAGACGTCCAGCTATACCAGAGTCGGTGGAGAGTCTGGGATATGCTCCCCCTAACAGCCAGGAAGACGATCTGCCCTGTGGACGTTTTGATCTTGGACTTCCAGCCTCCAGACCTCCAGGCTGTGAGGTCATCAACTTCTTTTGTTGAAACCATCTGGTCTGGGAACTTGTTATAATAGCCCCCAGGAACTAAGACACTTGTCACATAGAAAAGCCACACAGATGCATATATGTATTATCTAAAAGAAAGTTAAAAATAAGTGTGCACACACATGACCTCAGATATGAGTACATGAATATGTTCAGTTATCAGCTCTGCTTACAAGGTCTGGGACCTTGGGCAATTACTCAGCTTCCCGTGCCTCAGTTTCCCCACCTTTGAACTGGAGACAAGAAGTGCCTTCCTCGCTGCACACTCTTGAGGGTTAAACGACCTGAGGCACAGGCAGAGTTCAGCACAGTGCTCACGCAAAGCGCTAAAAACTGCGTCGATGGCAGACCTGCCGTTCTGGATGCCAGACCTGCCGTTCCGGATGCCAGATTGTTTCCAGATGCTGGAGCCCGGGGAGGCCCCAGCACTGAAACAGGAAAGCTTGAGGCGAGCGAGTCTGATTTCCGGACGACCGGGCTAGAACGCACCTGAAGTGTGATACACAGGGAAGAATGGCACAGCCCCAAGGCCCGAAACGGACAGGCAGCAAGAAATGGAAACGGGGGAACAGCTTGCCTGTGTCTTGGCTAAAAGGTCGTTCCCGAGTCCCACTCTAAAGTCCATGCTGGTCTCAGCAGGCCTGGGCAGGGGCAGCCCTGAAAGGCAGGAGGCAGGAGAGTCCCCTGTTGGAGACTGGCGGGTAGCCCATCTGCACGCCAGATCCCACGACATCTGGGGTATTCCTAGGCTGCATGGCAACGTCCACGCTGTTTCTGCGACCCGGCTACTCCTTGAGCTTCCACCTGAAGGTCCTCGGTACCTGCTGGGCACCTCTATCACCTTCCAGGAGACTTGAAAGCAGCTCTAAGACTTCAGTGACCTGCTGCCTCTGAGTCAGGAGTAAGGAACTATGCTTCCTGCCTGCAGCCCCCTAGGCAACCCTCCCACAGGTCCCCCAACACGTTTGCACCACTGGCATAGCCCTGGAAGACAAGGACCATGTGTCCTTGGTTGCCAGAACCTTAGCAGGTGCTTGCTAAGTGTTTGCAGCTGCCTGGACAGTGAGGCGAGCTGTCACGAGGTGCCATCTGCCCAGTTGTGGTCTGTACAGTCACCCATGTTCACCAGCGGGACCCAGCTCTGGGCCTGGGTGGGGTTATTTTTAGGAGGACAGGGGGTCACTCAGCCCTGGGCCCTGTGTCTCATCATCACACTTGGTGCTTGGACACACACTGTGGGGGATGCACAGGGAAATGGGGGGCACCTGGCGGCTCAGTACCAGCCCAGGAGGGAACTGCGAAACCAGCACTCCTGCAGTGACCTCTCCATTGTGCCCGCTCCTGCTGACCCGGGCTGATGCTCATGAAGTTCGGCTCCTTTGAGGGGTGGGAACCCAGAACCACGCAGAGTCAGAAGCCCGGCTTAACTTATCAGCAAGAGGACTGTGCAAACCTGTCACCCTCATTTGTGAAACTGGCCACCACTATTTAAGGAAAATGTCCTTATGAAAGCCTCTTTCTCCAGGTCACAGTGAGTCATGCTTTCCTAAATTTCGACATCGTTTTCATCACCCTAACTTACACCTCCTGGCAGATGTGCTCTGCAAGACAAGTCTGAACTTATAAGATAAAGCTGCGCCCTTGTCCTTCCGTGATTTCACTTGGAGTAACAACATGGTCGGCGAGAGGATTCTCAGGCAGGGGCGCGCCCTGCCTCCGTCCTGAGAGGCGGCGCTGCACTGGCTGAGCCTGTGGCCGGATCAAATCAGTTGTCGCTCACTGTTCTCTTCTCGGCCTCGGTGCCTCCGTTTCTTCAAGTTAGTGAGTCTTTACAATAAAGGGAGTAACTGCAAGATCCTAGCCAAGTGAGAAGGCCTAATGACATACACAAACACATTTTGCATATAAACAACGGTAAATGAAATTTTCTCTGGGTTGGGGCCAACCATATATACTAAAAGCTGGAGAATATAACAAAATTAAAACTTTATTTTAAAAGTAAAGGTAACTAAATGGAGGGTTTGGGATGAAGGCTATAAAGTAACATCTTTTTGTAACCTATTAATCGAATAATCATAAAATGATTATAATAGGTTTCTGTGTAATATAAAAGCAATATTGTTTGTTTTCAGGATCTGACCTTGGTTGACTCGGGAGCACGTATAATGTGATGACCATGTACATGTAATTTGGGGATAGAAAAAGAGGAGCTGACTGGCTTCCGAAGTAATATTCTTAGAGCCTTACAGGATGAAGGGGCAACGCAGCTGAAGACAACAGAAAACATCAGAAACTGCGGAAGCTGGTGCTTGGGGGACGCTGTCTGAAACCCTCCCCAAGGTCAAGTAACTGCCTTCGCTTCGGCTCAAAGCCACGTTTATTCAGCCTGACATTATGTTTCATCTCTGATGCAGCAGCTGGAGCCTGACTGATGACACTTGTCTCACAGGAGCCAAACGACAAACTCAAGTGTGTGCAATAAATATGACTTTGAACGTTTGGGTCTCACTGTGAAGAGACGAAAAACCCAACGTCTGAACCGGAGAAGCTGAGTTTGAGCAGAGGCCTCCGACCCCCAGGGCTGTGTTCCTGGTCTGGACACGAACATCAAGGATGGGGCATCTGACACCAGCTCTGGGGAGCGCTGCCGAGACCGTCACAGACGTCGTCACGGAAAAGACGCTGAATGGAAGGTGAGGGGGAAGGGCGCAAGCTTTGAATGACGGACCGTCAGGCGCCTGAATGCTCTCCAGGTTGGGAGCCCTGCACAGCCGGCCCTGCCTCCCGGACTCGGTGCGGACCAGCGGCGCCTCTGCTTACGCCCTCGCCTCCACCGGGCCCTCGCTTCCCTGTGCTTAGGCCTCTGGTAACTGGCACACAGTAGGAACGTAGTAGCATTGTTTAATATAACATAATCTCGCCACGTACAGTATATTCACTGAATGACCTAAGGATCCTGGGTCCCTCGGACGTGTCATTTCGGGTCCTTCCTGTGCCCACAGGAAGCATGGACTCTACAGAGTCCTCCCCGTGCAGACTGAAACGGCCTCCCCTGCGATTTTCTTCAGCGGCACACACTAGGGTACAGACTTCGCTTGAGTTAGGCTGGCTCTGAACACAAACACGCACCCTCTGTGCTAAAAGGCTAGCGAGAACTCCACAGGCTGTCCCGCACACCTGCTCACACACGTACTGAATAGAAGGGGGTAGGGGGTGGAAATTCGACATGGGACCCCAGAAGAGGCACGTGCGCATTTTACCAAAGATACTCCTGCCCCAGGACAGGACCAACCGTCGGACAAAGAGCGCTGTTGGATTCCCAGCTCCGTGGCCTGCGTCTGCCCCCGTCCGCCCACTGAGGTCGCGGTCTGCGGCCGGTGAGGCCCCCTCGCCCCGTCACAGCCTATAAAGGCTCTACTCTTCCTGGAGGCACAGCCCTGACTTTCAAGGACAACGGCCTTCAGCTCCTCCAATGTCTTGTGTTTCTATTCCAAGCCAAGCTGAAGGCATCCAAAGAAAATAATAAAAGGCGCCCAAATTAAGGAGAGCTTGGCTCACAAGACAGCACGCACAGCAGCTAAAAACAGCCCCTGGTCCGTGGCACCATGTGAGTGCTGGGCCTCAGTCTGGGTTCAGACACATCGGAGATAAACAGAGCTCTGCCACTGACTTGCTTTTGTGGCACGCGCAAAGTAGCTGCGGTGCTCTGGCAGGGTCGCATGCACTGGAGCACCGGTGCCCGCGCTGGTCCGAGGGTGCTGGCCTGGCCGATGCCAGCTGGTTGTTGCCCAGAGCCCCCTCGGGCAACAGCACTGGCCAGCTGAAGGTGATGGTCTGGGTTCCCAGCCCCAGGTGACAGCAAAGGTGCACCAGCTCTGCCCTTCCCAGCTCCCCGCATGGGGACCCTGTGCCAGCTATCTTCCTCCTCCCGGTCCCACCACAGAGCCATGCTGGTGGTCAGACCCACGCCCTGGCCCAGAGACGGACACACGCCCGAGGCAGGCACGGGCCGGGTCGAAGTGTCCTAACCGCCCGAGACCTGCACACTGCCTCAGGAACCCTGTAAACCTGCCTGACGTCTCTGGGCATGACCCTTGTCACGGTGCCCTGTGGACTGCCTGCGCCCTGCCTGGCGTGTCCGTCTTGCTCACACGCCCGTCCGTTCCAGCACCTCCCACAGTTCCAGGCACAGCAGCGCCTTCATGAATGTGTTGGGTACATGAGTACAGTTGTTGGCAGTAATGGCAGTAATTTCTTATAACAAAAAGCATTGGAGTTCAAAGAGAGTTTTTTGATGATTCTGATGGAAAAATCCTAACTTTTGGGATTTCCAAAAAAGTATTGGGGGACTCTGAGAATCACAGAAAAAAAGAATGGGCAAAAAACTATATTTTTATTGTGTAAGAATCAGTGCAAACCTAAAAACTCAAGCACCAACTTTTTAGCTAAGGTTTTCACAAAACAAAGTTCTCAAGCTAAGCCAGCTTGCTTCAGAAGGTAAGCTGACCATGAACTTGATGACGAATGAAACTCTGATTATACTCAGCATCTGGCGACCTTGACTGGGACAGCCTGGGCCAGTGGTCTTGGCCCTACTGCTGAACTGTAGAGTGATTGAAGGATCACTTCCACTTAAAAAAAATCAAAACAATATACCTGTTTCTTAAAAAGCAACCCTACATTTGGGAAAGTTCTTGTCTCTAACCAGGAACAACTGATGGGCTTGAGAGAGATTCCTGGTGAAGCCGCCTTACTCAGGGCCTTGGCTGGGCGCCCAGCCACACGACCATGCACAGGGCTTGGCCTTGACTTTAAGGACACCCTGACGTGCAAGCAAGGGAGGACTGTGTACCTCCACAGAGTAGAGGGAAAGCAGGAGACTCCCAGAGAAGTGCTTCTCCGTGGGAGGCCGGGCGGGCGGGTGTGGGAGTCTGGGAAGCTGGCTGGGCGGGGAGCGAGGGCTTTCTGGGGCGAGGCAGGGGGCTTTCTCTCCAGCAGCGGAGAGACCTGGACCCCACAGGGCATGTCAGGAGTGCCCTGTACGTTCCTGAGGACGGTAAGACAACGGAAATTGGATCATAAAACAGCAATCTCCAACTGGTGTGCCCCGAGAATTTTTAAAACATGTAGTCCCTGGCTATTTGGTCAGGGACCTTGACCTCTTTTCCCTTAGATTGTCAAACCAGAAAATGACAACAGCCAGCACAATAGCTGTTGGCATGAGTGAATCAAAATTATACCTATTTATTTTGTCAGGTTGGCAAAACACATATCTTTTGGTGTGCCACAGCATTTTTGTGGTCAGTTTGTGTGTCCTGAGATTGAAAAAGGTTGAAAATTGCTGATATAACACACTGGCTTCTTTTGAAACACGTGGAAGTGTTTTGATTTGCTTCAGATAAGTGACGTCATAGGAAGCGTGTGCCAGGTGGGGACCGGGACTGGGAGACACACCTGGGCGGTGTAGTAGGGAGGGGCTTTATCAGAAGGACAAAGGTGGGACCCAGAAGCTCAGGAACAGGTTTGTACCCAAACAACGGACACTGTCAGAGCCAGAGCAGACACTGACCCTTTAATTGTCATTAAGATGAATCTCAGCCCAGCAGCCTCCCTGAGGCCAAGAGCCAAAGGTGGTTGAACACAAGACTCAGAACAAGAGGTTAGGAGAATTTCACTCTCCTGGGTGTTTGGTTTGTGAAAAACACTTGGGAGCAGCAGAGCCCTCGTAGCTGAGGGAGGACCTGGCCACAGTCGCTTCAGGTTGTCACCCTGCTGGCCAAGAATCAAAGTTTCCTGGTCTGTCCAGTGGCTGCCGGGAAGCGAGTGAGGGTGAAGTTCAGTGTGGGGAGATGGGCTTGTCGCGGGGAGATGGGCTTGTCTCGGGGAGATGGGCTTGTCGTGGGGAGACAATAGGAGGGGTGGATGCTACTGACCAAAATAAGATTCAGGAGCTCTCTGCTGCCTTACCTCTTCCCCTAAATCAGTACTGCAGGCTGCAAATGGCCCCAGCGACCACCACAGACCAGCGACCACCACAGACCAGCGACTCTGCGGCCCTGGAGGGCAGCCTGCAAACCAACTCTGCGAACGTGAGGATCAGTGAGGGCCTTGGCAATGAGGGTTGCTGACTTCCCTGGCAGGAATGGGTTACCAAGGAAGACGGAGGCATCTGACTTAGCCATAGAACTAAAGAATAAGCAATCCCTTTTGAAAGGAGAGGGTCACTTAGAAAAAGCTCCAGTGTCGAACTTCTAGCCTGAGGCTTCTCTGTAACGCACTCAACACCCTGCTGCTACTCAGGACCTGGTGCTCTATTTAAGAATGAACACACCGTAAAATCCTAAGTCTGTCACATGCTCAATGGTCAGAAAGAAATGAGCCAGTGGAATTGACTTCAAATGAAAACAGGCTCCCTGAGTCAACCCGGCTGTGAACAGACACACAAACACCCCCCCCCCCACACACACACACGCATGTCCTAGCAACAGGAGACGCCAAGGAGGCGGAGCGCCCAGGTGCCCCTGGGCCTGGCCTCAGGCCACCCTGGGCTGGTGCTCTGAGCTGGCTGCACACCCCAGCTCTGCACGGCACAGTGACAGCCCGAATGCGACTGCCACCCAGGCCGATGGGTCACTAGAAGAGAAACACTGCCGTCCCCCAGCCTGGGAGAAGAGTGGGCGGGAACCTCCCAGAGCCAGGGCGCTGCCACTTACTGCTATCCGCAGGACTGATGCCTTCACCGAGGTCCATTTGTCCTGCCTTCGGTCTATGACCAGGATGAATCCGATGCCAGCATCTTGTAAGCTGAAAGGAGGGGGAGAGAAATCAGCAATTAATGTGTGCAGCAGGAGGACAGGCTTTCGTGTAATTTCTAAGAAAACCTTATGATAAAACGATTCCTCCAATAATCCTGATGCCACTTCTGCACCGCAAGGCAAAACGCATGCCAAGTGGGCGTTTGAGCAGACTGCAGCATTTCCATGAGCCTCGTCAGGGCAATTTCCAGAACTTGCTCTCATCTAAAGATGGACCAGTGTTTTCTGTGTTTTGCTGATTTCCCAGCCTAACAGCAACCATCTCACAAGGCAAAGATCCAGGCGGAACCTCATCCTTCCTGGAGCTCAGGCAAGATCGTTCCACGGTCAGAGCCAAGTCACGTTCGTCTCTAGGCTGACCAGCCGGCTCAGCCCTCCAAGACAAGGTTTGAGACCCACATGTTACGTTAGTCCTAGCATCTGAGGTCTGCCTGCTCGTCCATGTTAGAAAACTGCTCTTGATGGCATTGCTGCAGCTTGGGGAGGAAATCCCCAAGGCATCTGAAGGCTCACAAGCATCTGGTGGGAAGAGGAGAGGAGATATGGCTCCTTGCAACAGCATCTGTGGCAAAGATAACACGGAGTCTCTGTGTAATGACAACCTCGGTCCCGACTGTGCCTGATGCGGGAGCCTGAGTCACCATGTAGAAATGAGCAGGTCCTCCTCCGTCGGCTAATTTTACACCCAAGCCAATTGTGTAATGCCAGCAGCTGCCGCTGCCAGCCAATCCACGCAGGCGACAGAGGGGCAGCCTGAGGCAACGATGGGAATCGGTAATTTCCAAGTCTCTGAACCTACGGGAGCCACTTCTGGGTTTAAACGAACGTCAGAATGACACGGACAAACATAAATGATGCTGTCTGTGAAATCCTGCTGTAACCGTTGTGTAATAAAGCCAGAGCTGCCACACCCAAGTCCTTCCTGATGCTCAGATTCAATGACAGTGACAGCGGTAACACACAGTGCACACCTGTGTGTGCACAGCTGTGTGGGTAGGTGCACACCTGCGTGGCTGTGTGTGCACTGGTGTGGGTGTGGGCTGTTGGTGGTGTGTCCTCATCCACACCTGATGATGGAGGACTCCGTGTGTAGGAAGGAGTCTGGTTCAACGACAGCAAAGGCCTTCTAGGTAAACACACAAATCAATGTCAACTTTCATTCAAAACAGCCTGTCTGCTGCTGGCAGTACAGCCCACGGGCAGGCACACATGGCCGCAGGCGATGCTGCTGTTTCCCCAGTGTGCTCCAGCCAGTCCTGTCTCCTGAGCCGGCTCACTTCTTATGGAAGTGAGGTTTGTTTCTGTTTTGTGTACCACTCGAGTTTCGGGGCCAGACACCTGGGCTCACAGCGGTCTTGCCCCCACTGCACCCCAGCAGCAAGTGCTCCACAGAGATGGCTGGCCAGCTTGCCTGGTCCAGGCCAGGCCGCTCGGGCAGGAAGTTGGGGCAGAACAGAAACTCTAGTTCCCTGGGCCTGGACACTCCTTCTAGGAGAAGGGGGTTCCTTGTTCTCTGGGGTTGCTACTGGCCAGCCACCACACACTAAAAGCTTGATTGATAGTCCTCCCTTAATCTTCAGAACAACCCTATGGGGTAGCTGAGACATGAGGCACAGAGACACAGAAGGGTTAAGTCGTCTGCCCACAGTGAAAGCCGGTGAGCCCAGGTGGCGTGTGCCCCCTGAGCTGGCTCCGAGCCAGAGCTCTCAGCTGTCTGCCCGCTGCCTTCCAGGCCAAGCCCATCCTGAGGGATAAAAGAGCCTCCTCCTGCCCCTCCCACCCCTGGGCTTCGTCTTAATGCTGGGCCAGGCAGGGACCTCCTCTGCAGGGGCTGTTCTACCACTGCTGGGGGTCGGGGGACATGCTGAGGGGGTCCGACTCCAGAAGCAGACAGCAAAGATGCCCACACACCAGAACCCAGCTCAGGGTCCAGTAAAACTCTTCCATGCCCTACTTATCTTGTCTCTCACCATATTTTGGGAACAGCGACTCAGGCACATAGACTTGATAAACACACAGCCTCTTACATAAGGATGTAGAGCCCCTTCAAGGCTCCCATGTGCCCACGTGACCGTAGCCCCAGAGCAAGGCCATGCCATTCGCCCCATCCCCCAGGAGCTGAGGCTCAGTAGCCCATCGGCCCCACCAATCCACCCCCAACAGGCTACGGAAGGTCTGGGTCTGCCCACATGAATGAAGGCCCTGGAGCTCAGGAAGCTCTGCTACTCCGCCTCTCCACTACCTGATACATGGCCTCATACGCCCAGGGGGGCAGGGTGGCTCATCTTGCCAGAAACTGCCCCCCAAAAAGTCCCTTGTGTGCCAGGCCTTGGGCTGACTGGGCTGAAGGTGGTGGCAGTGGAGTTAACAGGGAACGAACAGCTCAGAAGCTGGCAGCCACACAAAATGTCCCAGCACCCTGGGCACACGCGGCCTGCAACACACAGATGTTGGCCTCCAACCTCGAAGCACTTGGATCAGAGGGCTGCCCTGGCCAGCTGCCCAGCAGCTGAGTGAGGCTGATGAGCTCACTTTTGACCTAAATAATCAAAAGAGGCAAGGACCTCGCACAAACTGTTTTGGGGACTCACCCATTCGCGGGTGCCATCTTTAAGACCCCGGGGCTTGCTGGCTTTGGGGGCCCGTGGGCCTGCTAGCTCCACTTGGGTGGCCCTCAGAGCTCTGGGGCACACAGGCCCGTCAGCTGTGTGTCTGGCCTCCTAACGCTGGGAAGGAGCAGTGAGCAGCCTGAGGGCTGTCCAGACACAAGCCTGGGCGGTACCCTGCCAGTGAGTCTGCCGTCACCAGGCATCGTATTTGTCCAGTTCTTGGCTGGGCTGCATCTTGCTCCCCAGCCCAGGGGGGGGGGCGGTCTGGCTCCCTCCCCCTCCTCTGGTTCAGACCCAATTTATCACAGAGCAGGGATGGGCGGAGACAAAAAGAGAAAGCAGAATGACAGAAGAGGAAAAGCATTCACAGGGAGAATGGCCCTGGTGGGGAGGGCTGAGGGACAGAGGGGGCGGGGGATGAAATGGACCTGCTCCTCCACCTGCAACGTGTGCCCAGGCTCCTGAAGAGTAAATGCTGACTCAGGCTCAGGAGGCCAAAGTGGGGCCCACCTTAGTGCATTTCTAACAAGCTCCCCACGATGCTGATGCTGCTGGTCCCAAGACCCCACCCCCAGTGGCGAGTGGCGGGCCCCATAGACGAGTCCTGAGGATTTCCTGTGTGGGGCAGAGGGGCTGTGTCTGTCTGAGTGCCTGCGTTTCTGCCCAGGAGGAAGAGCCCAAAAGAGAGGTGGGGACACCTGGGGTGCCTGCTAGACTGTAGGACGAGGGCAGGGTCAGGAAAGGAGGATGGGAAGGAGGGAAGTGGTGGAGTGACAAGACCCCCCCCAAACATCACAAGGAGCTGTCCAGGTGCAGTGATGTGGGCCAAAGATGCAGCAGGGACAGCAATGCGGAGCTTTAGGACATTGGCTCCGTGCTGGAGGGCAGAGAGTGAGCGGAGGTGAGCAGTCAGGTCGTCGGTGGGGAGGGGAGGGGCTCACATTGGTGAGGCCAGATGGTATTTTGGGAAGAAATCCTGAGGGACTGGGAGGTCGCTGCCCCTCTCCAGAACAAGCAGGCCAGGGCGGGCATCACACACCTTCCTGCTGGGTCTCAGGTCCCACACCTGTTCTCTTCTCCTTCTCAAGAGGCAGGGCATTCAGGAGAGGACACAAGGAGGGCGGTTACCTGGGAGCACCTTGAATTCCAAGCCTGGCCATATGCACACTTTAAAACATACTGTGTCCTCGTTACAGGAATAATAAACAAGCATCAGCGAAGTGCAGGAACAGGTAAAAGCCGGAGGAGGAACTTGGACGTCAGAATTTTTAAATGTGCTCTGGTTGATGGCGCCCTCTTGTGGTTGGAAGTGAGTGCTGCATGCGGCCAAGCAAACACCAGGTGCCCCAGGAGGGAATGTGAAGGAGCAGACCAACTTTAACCAGCTGTAATGTGGTTACAGAGACTTCTGGACACCACCCTCTCTGGCCCCTGGACACTGCTACAGTGTCCCGGCGACCTGTTGGGATGCATGTGTGGGTGACCTGCCTGGCCCAGAGCTGTCTGAAGGGCTCAGAGCCTGAGGAACTAAGTATTGATGTGATAATCTAGTACTCAAGTGTGCTTTTCTGGTCTTCTAAGAACCAGGATGGCAGGACGCTCTTAAGACAACCCAGCTTTGGGACAAATCCCTTAATGCTGGGGCCTTTATCTTCTCGTCAGCACTGGCTGATTCCTGTTGGGTCTGGACGTTTGAGCTTGGGAGGGACCATCACTTAGGGAGGTGCAGCAGGCCGAACACATCACAAAAGATTCTCTGGAGTCCGAGGCTGTCTGAGCCCTCTGTGAGCTCCCCACCGCAGGCGCTCCTCCCCATCCCGCCGCCGCCGCTGCTGCTGCTGCTGCTGCTGCTGCCGCTGCCGCTGCAGCTGGAAGTCGGGACCGAGCCGCTGACACAGTTTTAAATTACTGCAGCTGATGCAAAGGCTCGGCTGGCTTGGAAGCCACTGCCCTCCCCCTGGGCAGCTGCGGAGGCTTCACAGGAAAAAGGCTGTGTTAAACCCCCAGTTACAGAAATTATGGGCTCACCGATCTTTCTTTAGAATCAGGACTCAGTGATTCTAATCCCACAGCCTGAGAGACCTTTCATATGATTGCCTACTCTCACTGGAGAGACCAGGACAGGGCTGGGTTCTGTAGCTGGCTTGGGGTACACCAGAAAGGACCCCCATTATGCCAAGCTGCCTCTGCCCTCCCCTGGTGGCAGGGAGAGGGTTTGGTGCCATGAGATCCCTGGCCGCCGAGAGGTCAGTGGTGCTGCTGCAGACACTCTGGCCTTCCCAGGAGCCACTGCTGCTCCAAGGCCTGCCTGGGAGTCCTGTCCGCTGGCCCTGACCTCGCACCGGCTCAGGGCCACACCCTGTCGGCCTCCGTGCCTGGC